CTCTAGAGACTTATTATCGATATCAATCCAGCTCTATATTGGAATTAGTAAAAGTCAACCAGAATCGAGCTAGGATCTTATCTGAAAACGCAGAATAGTATTCTGATTACGAAGTTTCTTAACTAAAGAATTTATTTGATATAATATACCTTATTCAAAAGGTGATAAATTCATTTCCTTCTTTATCATTTGGGATAAATCTCTCAACTTCTTTAAAAACTTTTGAAAAATGGAATAGAGATTCCGCTACTTAATCAAACTATTATCAGATCAATACTATTCATTATTTATATAGTATTTCAACTTCTTAATGGTTGAAATTCTAGCTTTACGGACTCTATCTCTATAAACAATATCGGAGTTTATAATCAATACAGAGAAATTAATCCGATAATCTGTATTATTATTGGAATCATCCTTTTATCGGTTATTTTTTAGTAACTCGAGATTGGTCTTCTTTAAATCTAAATATGTATTAGTATAAATAATAATTTGTCTTGTTAAAGATAAGAGATTTATAGGGATCTATTATTAAAAGTTAAGTAAGATTTAACTGGATTAGTTCCGAATTACTTATTTTCTTGCATTGGTTTTTTTAAGTATTACAATATCCACAATTGGACGAATTCTCCTCCATTTCATATGTATGACTAGGGTCCAGATAAAGGCGTTTGAGATACTGGAAACAATACAGACGAGTAAAAAAGTTGTCTATAGTAAGAGCACAAAGGTGTACAGAAAGATCTGTTTGTGATGTGGCTATATCGATAAAGTTGTAAAATAGAAATCGATAAGGAATATATTAGGGTTAAATACAGAAAACCTTGGGGAAACCGTATTACTAAGGAAAGCTTGTTATGGTTATTGTTTATTATTTCCAGAAAAAGTATGGTAATGTATTGCTACTACAGAAACTTCCTAGAATAATTGTTTCTATTTATTACATTTATTTATTTATAGATAGTATAAGCCAAACTATAAGAATATGATTATTGAGGAGAGTATTATATCATTGTGTAGAGACTAATCCTTTTCCAGGGATTAACCAGAAAAGTGTGGATGTGAAAGGATACGGAGTATCCTTTTATATCCTTTGTTTTTTATTAGTTAATTCATACTGAAATCTATAAAGAACTACTCTTATACCACCATGGCAGTGGTATGAGTTCAGTTCTGTACAAACTATACCCTAACTGTAGTACTGATACTATCCGGCCTATTCCCTGCTTGTGATCCCTCACAAAAAACAACCAAACACCCTGCCATAGCTTTATTCCCTCTTCTCATTCTTGACAGTCCTATTAGCAATATCTATCAGTTAATCCACCTCATCATCTTGATAGCCCTGCCACCAAACTGCTCTCGTCCTACATGATATTTTATTCATCCAAAACACGGATTGTGGAGTGAGGCGAGGAATTAAACAGAGCCATATCTCCAATAGCCTTTTCCAATCCAACCTGTCTTGCGTATTCTGGACGATTTGGTTCGGTATTGACTTCGAGTTTAAGTCCAATTCGTTGTAGCGATTCTACCACAAAACTTGTGATAGCGCTTCCACTCGCTCGGGCATGTAGGTTGGGTGTCCGTAAAAGAATCGGCTTGCTCAAATCTTCCCCCGAATCCTGCAAGAGTCTCTGTGCTGCCTTTATCATAACAAATTGGCTGAAGATTTGCATCCCGCGCACCAAGGATGGAGGGGGGACTGACAACCGTTAATGCCGGGTTGGCGAGATCATGAAATACATTTTTATTAAAGGTTGCCTGACCGCCAGAGACGCATGAGTCCTTTGGGTACCACGTAAGTTCTGTTGATCTCTAACATCTCTTCGAATCTGGAGAATTAACAAATGGTGTAATCGTCTTATTTCTCATGTACGATGCTCCCAAGTATGTGCATGTATATCAAATTCTGATACTATTCGGTGGCTTGGGAATTTGTGGAATCACATTGATGGCTTGCTTATCTGTATAAACGTGAGGGGTAAGTTTGTCATTCATGCTTTGCTGTGATATCACTGAGCTAACAATATGCAGCAAACGGGTCACAGAGATAGTAGGGTGAGAATCTGAACGAGGCTTAATCAGCTATCTTCCGACAAAGACGAGAAGTTCACTTGTCTGTCTAGAAGGACATAGATTTTGATATACTCGAGTGAACTTGTAAGAATTATCATTTCAATCTTTCAGTAGCATTCCAAATACTTTTTCTGGTGAACTGCTCCTCCACTACCGGTACCTAGGTATTACCTCTTGGACAAACGAGAAAGGGTCATCCTTCTAGAAATTCCTCAAACCGGCTTCTAATTCCTTGGCATACGTCACCAAGTTTATCCCCCACATTCTGATCAAGCTCCAGGAAATGCAACCAATCATAAAGGAGATATCCCACCAATTCATTCGCCTTGACTGTTTTATTCAAGAAGGAACCAAGGCATTATAACCGCTAATCCACTAGTAAGTTCTAGACTGATGGCATTGTACGTTGATAGATGAGTAAGGTATATAAGACGTCTTTGATCACTGCTTGGCTCAACTTCTTTTCATCCATTAACAACTACTACCAGTACTTCAAAACTTCAAATCCAACCCCAAAGTCAACTATTTAAATCAATCCAGATCCACTCTTCAAAAATGAATTTCGTCAACAAAGCCAAAGATGCCATCCAGGGTAACTCAGGAAACACTGGCACGACTAGCAACACCACCACCAACACTGCTGCTGGCGGAGCTGGCGGAAAAGAGGATTATGGTGACAAGGGTTTGTTCCTCATCTCTCCTGTTATATTTTCTCAAGAGTTTCTATACACCATGCTAACGATAAACTCAAGGACTCGACTTCATTGAGAAGAAGACTGGCCACACTCTGACACGAGAACAGAACGAGAAGATCACTGATGGTGCTCGTGGATTGTATGAGAAGCAAACTGGGTATGTTCTCACTATTCCCTCCTCTTCTTTACTTCATACCCCGTCGAACATTCAACTAATCTTACACCACGTACAGATCTGCCGTCAACTCCAAGTTCTCCAACTAGATAACGGATTTATGATATGCTGGGTTATACGATAGTTATGAAAGGATGGGTTTGGGAACGGAATGGTATGGTATGAACAGGGCTCCGGGATATAGCACGACTTAATGAAATGATATCAAACATCAATGTTCCGCTTCGACGTGAGCGTCAACGTGACTGATGAATCAATTTCACTTCGATTTATTCTCAAGGTTCTTTTCCAATTCCAATCATTGATTGTCCTTGACGGAACTGGACACCTGAATCTTATTGTCTCGGATAGAAGTGAATATGCCTACCTCATTGTCTCGAATAGAACTGAAATATTGGACCTCTTGTCCTGAATCTATTTCTTTCAGAGAAGAATACTCCTCCATTGCTTGGAATCGACTGCTTCAAGGTGCAGAGCTCTATCTCCATGCATATGTCTCTGGTTGTATGCTTTGAACGATGAAACAACCCACATGCTTCTCTGATCTTAGCTTGTAATCCTGTGAGTATGAAGGTAAAGATATGATAATCAGAGTAGAGCATTTCGATTCTTTGGATGAGGATAATGCTCGATGCTTGTGTGCTGTGTGCTGCTTGAATGAAACAAATTAGAATGATTTATCGGTGATGTTCTTTCTTAATGCCGAAGACGCGCGCGCCGACACATGATCTTGGTCTTGGCGCTACCGGAAACGTTCCCCTCATTCATTCTCATTCATATGAAAACATCAAATTCAATTTAATCTAATCAATGCTTCAATGCTTCAACAACCTCTTCGATATCATCTTCATTATGAAGGTCTCTACAAGTATTTGGAACATAATCTTTCCTTTGACTCTCAGATTCATTCTCTAGTCAAATTTTACTCAAACTCAAGGCGGCATCACAATCAAATTCATTCCAAATTCAATCCATTGTGTGCACATCAACTCTTCAATTATTCAGTCAGTACAGTACGACGATGTCACGACACACGATGCATCCAAATCATCAAAAGCCTCAATTTCTTGTTCCCGTGTTACTCCGAATCCTCCCTTTCCCTTTTACAAATACTTTCCTCATTGGATCCCCCTAATCTATCTGATTTATCATCTCGTGTATATTATCACTTAGGGGAAACTGTGGGAAGGAACTTCCTTTAAGTGTTAGACGCGTCGCGAATACCTGCGCTTAGGGGTCATGAAGAGAAAAATTAGGTGAGAAGAACTGTGAGAATTACCGTAAGCTAATCTTGGAAGAGCCCACCAATTACTCTATGGAAAAGGTAGGTAGTATGAAAAGGTAGCGGTATGAGAGATTTATTTTGTCTACAAATACCTCAACATTTCCCCTCTCTTTCTTGTCGCCTTCTAATTCTTCTCTTGATTCACCACATCTCCAAAATCTCCATCTACCCCAAAAGCCCTATAACCACCCCACTAACACCCCGCTATCTACCGCTATCTTACTATCTACAACCAACTATCAACTACTGAATCTCAGAAACCGCACACTATTGACAACCAACATATAACATCATCTTATTGTATACCCCTAAACCACCGTTCACAATGACTACCACATCGATGATTCAACCAAAGTTCCTTTCGAAAGGCGACCAACTTGGTGTTGTCGCTGTTGGGTTCTCTGGTGGTCAGGTAAGTCTCCATGCTTTCTAACTTTCAACTTCACCAACTAATGTGATCTACCCAGTGTAAACCAGGAGTTGATGCCGCCCCTTCAGCACTCATAAAAAGTGGACTTCTCACTCAACTCGAGGAAGAATTAGGATACAAGCTTCATCATGATAACACCGTCCATTCTTACAAGGAATTGATCCCTTCCGAGGACCCGGATCATCGAAACATGAAGAACCCCCGCGGAGTCTCTGCCGTCACACAAAAACTCTCCGAGCAAGTCTACGAGCATGCCAAGGAAGGTCGTTGCGTTTTGACTCTCGGAGGTGATCATTCTATCGCCATCGGTTCAGTATCCGGAATTGCGAAAGCAATTCGTGAACGATTAGGAAGAGAAATGGCATTGATCTGGGTTGACGCACATGCCGATATCAACACACCAGAAACCTCCGACTCTGGAAATGTCCACGGAATGCCAGTCGCATTCTTGACACGACTTGCCCAAGAAGAGAAGCCTGATATCTTTGGATGGTTAAAGGATGAACATATGGTCAGTGTAAAGAAGATTGTTTACATCGGATTGAGAGATGTGGATCGAGGAGAGAAGAAGATCCTCCGCGAGAATGGTATCAAGGCATTCAGCATGCACGATATTGATAGGTCTGCATTCCCGTCCCACATATTAATTTTGTACAATCACTAAATCATTTCTTAATTGCAGACACGGTATTGGCAAAGTCATGGAAATGGCACTCGGTCACATCGGCAACGATACCCCAATCCATCTCTCCTTCGATGTCGACGCTCTCGACCCCACATACGCCCCTTCCACTGGCACACCTGTTCGTGGAGGTTTGACCCTGAGAGAAGGAGATTACATCGCGGAATGCGTACACGAGACCGGTTCTCTGATCGCAATGGATTTGGTAGAAGTCAACCCTACACTTGAACCTGGTATCAATGATGTTGGAGCACATGAGACCGTTCGAGCTGGATGCTCTTTGGTCAGATGCGCTTTGGGTGAGAGTTTGCTATGAGCAGTGTTTTGCATATTGGGAATACATGTTGATGAGACATTTGGATAGATATACCTACCTTTAGATCAAGACTGGCGATTTATACCTTCGGTATGGGATTCTATGGGTGGCCCTGAGATGATGATAAGAATCCATTTTTTAATTACGGTTATACTTCGCAACTTTCAGGATAGAGGAGCTGGTAGAGCATATAACTTTCACAAGCTTAAGATAGATGGGCAAATGATGGACGAAATCAATACAAAACATATCAAACTTCCCCGCCTGTAGTAAGTTCCCCACCGAGTAACATGATCATTTTTGTCACCGCCGATGCATCTCTTTCTAAAAATACGAATAAATATTCTCCGATCTCGAATTCCGACTAAGGTTACCGACTCCCGAGTCTTGGGTAACTACCGTACCAGCCTCATGAATTTTCCTAGGCTTTGAAAATTTGATGATGCGCTAAACAGGCCTTTTTGAGATCATTTGTACGAGTAGACTTGCGTGATGGTTTTGTTTCGGGGGTTTTGAATGTTTGAACTCTTTTCGACAATTATCTTAGTTAGATTTGTTGGAAATGGAAAAGTCGCTATATACCTTGTATTGGTGCTTCATCCAAGCTTTTCCAGCGTTTTCAGCTTTCCAGCCCCCCCTCCAATACTAATAAGCGCCCAGTTACATTATTCACACCGCGACAATGTGATAAACCAATGTATATCTTCTTGCCGATTGGTTTTTTTTTCCTTCCTGTAGTTCATTTCTCGTCCTTTATATTTTCTTTCTGCAAATTATATACATCAAATTCATACTTTTTGACTCTCATGTGAAGTATATGAATGCAACGATACTGTATTGTTTCCCCGCGATCAATTAATCAATCACTCAAGTTACCGCCAAAAAGTGAGACAGGCACACAATCTTCCGCTGCACGCCCCCCTGGTTCGAGTATTCGAGTACCTTACCTTGCAATCTTATCGGGTTCTTCGAGTCCTAGTGGAGTAACAGAGTAACACAAACACCTCAGCGAACGACAACACAACATTCACCTGCATCAAAACATACGAGAGGGGATTTACGTGGACGAGTTAACGTACGGGGGCTTTTAAGGCTGAGATCGGGTGGAGGAGATTTCGTGAAGGGGAAGGATATAATTGTCAACAGAGTCGCAAGTATCTTTAAGAGAGAGAGAGAGAGAGAGAGGGAAATTGTATCACTATCATTCGACGTGCCGAGAATTATATCTGAAAAGACTACGCTTGGAACTTACGACGATAGTCAAAGTGCCGCAGACAAGGAAATTTCGAATTGGTCTCTCAAAACCGTCTTCAATCCTACATCAATATCCTCTCCACCCAATTATCATCAACAGCACCTAAGAAATCCGCCAAAATGGTTTCCACACTCTCCTCCTCCTCCTCGGGAGGGATCCGCGAACGCTCCGCCGTCCTCCTAACACGCACCCGTACGAAATACCGCTGGCCGCCCCTCCAATTGAATTTCTGGATCTTCATCATGTTAATCGCATCCTCGACCATCCTCGGAATATCTGCCTACTTCCTGTCCGTACAAAACCAATTACATCTACGCGTGCCGTGGTATTTCCCTTACTGGGTTGTATCGGCCGCTCTTGGTATTGTATTCCTATTGATTATGTTATGGTTGATTTCGCAACGGCAATTGCTTCCTGGCATTGTTATACTCGGGACGTTTATTCTGTTTGTGTTGTGGTTGGTTGGGTTGATCGTTTGGTCGATTGAGCTTTGGGGTCCGACGGGTTCTGTCAATGGAAATTGTAATTTGTACGTTACTGCGAATCCTCAGAGCGGTGCGTCTACAAACACGTTGGCCTGGTTACAGCAAAAGTCGATATGTCAAAGTTGGATTGCTGCTTGGGCTTTCGAGTTGATCGGGGTTGTATTTCTGTTTTGGATGATGATTATGAGTTATCAGGTTTACAGAATGGATGAATGAGATGATTGCGGACGAGGAATTCGGCGAGACCCGAGATTTAAGATGCTACGAATGACGATATGTGAATGGTATTGGAATCGGAATATGGACTAGGAATGGGAATCGGATGTGTGGAGTCTGGGGGTTGTGGACGGATCTACGAATCGGGGATACTATACTACAAGGAATACGGCAGAGACCGAGTGATGCATTGACATGGCGTTTAGGGGAAATTGAATGGGAGTGAGACCGTACTTCATTATTGAATGCGATGAGTTTACGGGGCCACCCTTTCTACTTTATAGAGACTGGGGAACAAAGGGCGATGAAATTGGTATTTTTTCCAATTGTCATAGTATAGTAATAATAAGGAAGAAACATTACGGTTTCCTCCATCAGTTTCAATATTTCCCAGGAACAGTCATAGCAAGACGATCCAGTACATATTTTCCAGCGGTGATTGGAGGATACTTTGACGGGTTATCCTCGGTCACACATGACGGCAATGTTTCCACTGTCTCATCGTAGTTGATCGAGAAAAATAGGGGTACCGAGTAGCGAGTTTTCGAAGTCCTATTGACGACCCGGTGAATAGTACTTTTATAGAGACCATTTGTCCATCGCATCAGAAAGTCTGCAACATTGACCACAATTCCACCTTCAACAGGTTCCGCGCTTACCCACTTTCCATCTGGGCTAAGAACTTCTAGGCCCGGAGTTTCGTCCTGTAAAAGTAAGGTGAAGCACTCATAATCTGAATGTGCGCCGAGACCAATTTCTTCTTCCTTTTCCAAGGTTAAAAGGGGCTTTGGATTTGAATTTGGACGATACTTTATCAATCGTGCAATCCCTCCCGGGTGTGTAACAAGCGAAGCGAAGTAATCCTCTGGGAGAGATAGAGAAAGAGCGAAGAGACGAAATAAATGCTTGCACAATTGTAGTATCTGTGGAAAAGAATCAGATGAGAATGCAAGTTTGAAGTGCAGCAATGACGTACCCGACCATAGTAATCTGCAATTCCTTGGTAAAACCCAGGAATTTCAGATTCATTGGGCCACAGATTTTTACCACCGGTAGATGTGCCATCTAGCTCCACGTATTTTCCATCTCCGCCTGTGGGATCTAGACCATATTCATAACCCCAATTAAATGCCTCCTTTGTTTCTTTAGTTGTGAAATCATTCGCGGTTGAATAACTGGCGGGTTCGTATCCTCTGAAATGTTCCGAATTGCTCATGTGAATGGCATCTTTCGAGGACTGGGGTAGCTCGTTGAAAAAGCGCTCACAAAGCTCAAATACTTCGTTGCAGACACTCTTGGGAATTCCATGCCCTGTAATGTAAAAGAACCCAACTGTCGTACACGCTTCATTGATTTTTTTTCCGACCTCTTGACGGTCGGCTAAGGATGACGAAAATGAGGGGGTTAAATCGATGATAGGAAGTGATTGAAATGAAGGAGGATCAGAGGCATCCGCGAGACGAGACTGTAGATAATTTTGCATATCCTGCGCAGCGAGTCGTGAATTCTTGGTGGCAATTGCCGCTGGTTGAGCCTTGGATGTTGTTGCCATACTTCCTGAATATGTTGTCGCAAATGTTGAATTGATCGAAGTCGGATTATACATAGTATTTTAATGACAACAAAGGTGGGGAGCAGAGGGGGGGGAGGGTTAGTTATCGTATCCTTATCAAGGAGGTGGTATAGTAAAAAAACAGGAACAGGAACTGAGCGACGGCAACGGTATACACCGATGAGATTAGAATTTTAAAATTGTCCCCAAGATTACCGACTTTGGTTGATTGATACCGACTTTGGTTGATTGATTCTTATGTTCTGATTGTTAGTGATTAGTTGATTAGCAGATTGAAAGTAGCAATATATATGCATCCGCAAAAAAAAAGTAAGTATACTCAAAAATTATCTCATATAAAGATGAGTTATTATTCATTATTTAATTCCCCGAAATCCAGATGATTAATATCCTGATAAATTTCGATCTTTTGATAAAGGATCCGGTGAAATTTACATAGATCTCTTCCAATTGGAAGGTTCCTGTAGTAAATAGAGGATTCTCCATGATACAGTCTATAAGCTATAAGACTGTCAAGTGACATCCAAACTTTACCTTTATTTTCCATCATACCAAGTCCTATATTAATGTAGCTCACCCCCCCTTTTCATAAGCCTTTATATTCTGCATCGACGTCTTTGATGACTTGATTCACCATGGCGTTCTTCAACCTATCCCATAGAGCCCTACTCGTTCTCACTACCATTATCCTTTTGATATCTACAGTTTTAGCAGCCGCTAATAATCTAACTCATGTCCCAAATTTTGGCTACAATCCCTCCAATGTCACAATGTATCTCTATATTCCTACTAAACTTGCGCGTAATCCACCAAAATTCGTCAATCCACATTGGTGTCATGGTACAGCCCAAGATGCCTTTGCAGGCACCCAATTTGCAACACTCGCAGATACCCTCGGCTACATAATGATCTTCCCCAATTCCCCAAACGCCGCAGATCAGTTTTAGGACGTCTCATAAAATGCGTCACTTACTCATAACGGCGGAGGCGATTCTTTATCAATTGTTAATATGGTTAAATATGTAGTCGCTACCTACAAGGCCGATCCTAATCGCGTATTTTCTATGGGAACTTCCTCGGGGGCGATGATGACGAATGTTTTAATTGGCGTTTACCCTGATGTTTTTGCTGCTGGTTCCGGGCTGGTGTAGCCTTAGGGTGTTTCGCAACCAATGATCGTTCTATAGATGTTTGGTCGAACGATTGCGCAACGGGTCAGATCGTCAAGACTGGGGAACAATGGAAGATCATCGTTCAAGCGGCATACCCTGGCTACACTGGATTCAGGCCAAAGATGTGGGTTTTGCATGGAACAAACGATACAACGCTTTATCCTCAAAATTTGCGGGAAGAAATCAAGGAATGGACATCTGTGCTTCACCAATCTACAACTCCTCTGACTACTAGATCGAACTGGCCGGACGCAGATTGGACTACATGGAACTATGGAACAAAGTTTAGGGCTACAAGCGCTGCAGGCGTAACGCATAATATCCCCACAAATGAAAGTGTTGTTATAGATTATTTCGATTTGAAGTGTCAGGGGATTTCGTGTTACTCGAGAATCACGGCTGACTCTATAGTAGGGATATATGGACCAACCCAGTGTGTCGATGGAAGTTATTGCAGTGAGAACAGCTTCTATTGGCAATGTTTACCAATTACCAAGAAAACATTGGGAACAAGAAGCTAGCAAGAACGACAAAGAATTTGTTTGGGTAGTGTGGAGGAATATGATATGAAGGATTGATGGAGTATGTCAAGGGGGCAGATTGTAGTGAGAATCATTTCTACTGGCAGTTTTTGCCAGACTAGGAAAGAGCGGCAGTCGAGTTCATGTCGTATTCTTTCCTCGAAACTCTGTGGTAATAAGACAATCACAAGAGGTCATAAACTATCAAATCACGCGTTGAATAGCTTTCTCCATTGATGAGCTTCACTTCAAATCAATCTGAAGAGATGAACTGGCTGTAAATGATGCAAAGTTTATTCTAACTATTTATTTGCGTCTCTTATGAGAGAAGGTACGCCATACAAACCGAAATCAATCAAACGCCGAGTAAAATTAAATTCGATAAGTTCTAAAAGACATATAAGGTGTACAGATGTGCGAGAAATTAGACAAACTTTAACACCCAAACCTATATCCTTTACAAATGTACATAAATATTCTAAATGACCAACTTCGGACCATGATATTTCGCCTCTTCCTTCACACTTGTTGTAGCAGTACTAATGCTTTCCAACGTTCTCTTTGGATATCCTTCAAAAGAAATGGCATAAGTAGCAACCGAATGAGCGATGAGCCTGGTGTTTATCAACCAAGCATCAAGAGCAAGATTTTCAATATCATCACAAAGTTGATGATAACAAGGATCAAACCAATCACCGGCTTTCCCACCAAACATTTGAGCTTCCTCAGCAGACTTGATACCTTCAGCGCCAGTTGCAATTCCACCACCCGGAATGCCATGCTTGATGAAGGCATCGTAGTCGCTACGACCGTCGAATGGTATATATGTATAGTTGAGATCGTGAGCTTCGTACCACTCCGTATAAAGATTTCTTAATGCCTCGGATCCTGATGGATTGGAAGCATCAGTGGCGTTGTACACTTGATAGGCGTAGTTTGGAGAAGCCATCATGTCATAATCCATGAAAAGTCGAATCTTCAAATTCTCTTCCTCGGAAAGTTGAGAAACGTAGTAATCTGAGCCAAGAAGTCCCTCCTCTTCACCTGCCCACCACGCGAACCTAACACAATTGTTGACATTGTAGTTGACCAGTTGAGTGGCAACCTCCAGCAGAGACAGGCTGCCAGATCCGTCATCGTTAATTCCTGGTCCTTCCACAACGCTGTCCGAATGTCCTCCCAACATTACACAATTATTTGGATCGCCCCCTTTCGTCTGAGCAATGATGTTCGTGGTACCAATAGCCTGAACCACTGCATCAATGTATGCAGACCCATCAACTGATTTCCCTTTCCGTAATTTCTCGATGTATGGAGCTGCTTCATCGTCTGATATTCCGAAAGTGGCAACATGAAGTTTATTTGGTGCTCCCAACGTACCTCCGAGAGCTCCATGAGCATTATTGTAAATAACTGCAGCAATAGCACCTGCTTTACCGGCATTCGCAGATTTATCTCCAAATGCACAAGTTCCCCGGCGGATGAAGGCTATGGAGCCTTTAACTTCTGTGGAATAATCGGATTCATCACATCCATCGTTTTCAACTAACACTAGCTGACCAAAAACTGCATCCTTCTTGTATGTTGGAGGTGTGAGACTCATGGGTATAGCGGTTTTGGGGACGGTATCGCCAAGTACGAGTCGATAATCGAAAACATTTCCCATCACTGCGGGAAATGTTTGGTTGGAAATATCATAGTAGTCACCGAGGGACGCGATAGAGGAGTAGATGTAGTCAATCGTTGATGTGTGGCCTATTACAGAGAGTGAGTCAACAAAACGATCTGAGAAGATGAGGAGTAATGAGGATATACCTTGAGATCCAATAACTCTTGTGGGATGGTTATATTCATGAACACCTTCCTCAGCGATCTTGTATAGCTGATGAGCTCGTGTGAGAAGATTATCTGTTTTTATATCGTTTTGAAGAGAAGAAGAATCGACCAAAGATTTAGGCTCGGTATTGATAAGAGAATGAGAGCTTTGTTCTTTCAAAGGGTGTTGAATTATTGTGCTTGTAGCTAAAGAAGCCGCAGCAGCAAGTAGTAGAATAGGACGATACATAATGAAGGTAACTGTGGAAATGTACCACGTTGTTGTTCTTGTACGGAGTGATGTTGTTTTAAAGGAAGAAAGAGAGGCTGGGGATATCAGGATCTTGAGCTTCGATGATGGGGTCTCAGATAGTATGCATGGCGATATCTCTGATAACATTGATTGGCTGTGAATTATAGTGTTGTCTCGGTACGTGACAGGGGTAAAGCGTAAATGAATCAGCCCTTGTTCTCGTGACTTACCTTGCTCTGTACAATCAATACTACCACCTGACTCGTTCCAATGACTCGTTCGTTCCATGTTCAACTTTTCGAGATGAGGTCTCAGTTAAGGTTGACCGATATATTTCTTGTGTATACCGGTATCTGATTTTGTCTACAAGAGTTATCTGATATCTACCCTTTCATCTCCTTTACCCCCTTCATCCTTTCAATTAATGTGGTCAACAGACTGATGAACATGGCTGGAGCATTCCTATTGCATACATGATCAGGTAGTCTCCTGATCATCTCCTCTATACCTCCATATAGATTTTGAATAAGTGCAAAGGTATCATAGTCATTCCCTAATCCAATGCAGCTCCGAAACCCATGTACAATCCCTCAGAACCCACTACCAATAATGCGCCATCATGATCATCAAAATAGTTATAATTCAACCGGCATTACCAACGTCGAGGAATCCGACATACTCCAACTAGGTTAAATTTTCATCCAGCATCACAACACCAGAATCATTCTTTCCATGTCTGCCTTCACCCGTTGGTTCTCGATCATTCATTGCCTTCCGCACCCAATATACCAGAGTCTCCTCCAATCTTTCCTTCTCAACCGGTTTACTCAAATACCCATCCATGCCAGCCTCAATACATTTTTCTTGATCTCCTTGAATCGCACTAGCCGTCATGGCTATTATCGGAAGACTTCTTAGTTGGCTATTTATTCGAGGAGGATTCGCTTTGGGTTTTATGCTATTAGTCGGGTTCTGTGACTCTGATCTGCTATCATTCGGATTTCTCATGCTGGCCAAACTTTTCGCAATTCCTAGAGGCTCTTTATCATGGTTCGGATCCCTTTCGTACTCCTCGTTCGTCCTTATGAGCCTTGTCGCTTCATAACCATCCATAATTGGCATTTGCACATCCATCAAAATGATATCTGGTCTGGGCTTAGATGGTCCAGGATTGCTCAAGTAATTCAGTGCTTCTCGTCCATTCCAAACAGCTGTTGCTTGAAACCCCAAGTTTTGGATAGTTTTCAATGCGATCGTTTGGTTAATTGCACTAAGTTGTGTGAGTAAAAATGAGGAGAATGTGACTAGTAGCAATATGTCCAACTTACTTATCTTCAACAACAAGAACAAGGACCTTTGCTCGTTCTCCTACTGAAAGTCTCAGCCCACCTTCTCTATCATTTCTTTCATTACGTAGATATGGAGGAAGAAGATGATTCGTGTCACATGTTGAGATTTGTTGATTTAAAGTCTGTTGAGTTACTGGCCCTCGATGAAGAGCTGGTCGATGAGGTATTGATCGACTTGAGTGAGATTGTATACTAGGATTATTAGTAGTGAAAGAAAAGCCGCGTTGAGTCGAAACTGTAGATTGTTGAGGGTAGCGGCAATTGGAGGATATCTTCAATGGGATCTTAAATGTAGCTGTGCTCCCAATTCCTTCATCTGAATCTAGAGCTATAGTACCAGACATTAGGGTTGCCAGCTAAAATTGTCAGTTTTGTAATATTGATGGTTGATGGTTGAACGATGACTGGAAGAAGACAGTGGATGCAGTAGTCCTGACTAGCAGACTAGACCTAAGCCTTCAATGTTCGAAAAGCTATGGATCTTGGTGAATAATTGGATTGTTTGAATAGATTCAATCTTCCAGATAATTCCAAAAACCAAAGACTTCTCATTTTTGAATTGCAGTCCGAATTATTGAACACCATGGAAGAAGGTACTTACATTTCTCGATATAGTTAAGCCTAAGCCCGTCCCGCCATACAATCTTGCCGTCGAGGAATCCCCTTGGCTGAAGGGTTTGAATAACTTATCCAAGGTCGTTTTCGAAATGCCTATACCAGTATCCTTTATCACGAAAGTTACCTCCATTATATCGCTTTCAACATCATCTGATTGCGGTATCATCTTCCATTTCGCGCTTATCTCTATAGATCCATTCTCCGTAAATTTTAGCGAATTAGTTAGAAGATTTGACAACACTTGTCTGATTCGTCCCGGATCTCCCAAAACTTCCAGACTTTCGTCAATCTCATTTTTGTAAGTGAAATCCAAATTTTTCTGATTAGCAAAAACGCTTAACAATTTACATAATTCTCCCACGGTAGAACAGAGACTGAAAGGAACCTCTTCAATGTCGAGACGGCCGGATTCAATTTTGGAGAAGTCGAGGATGTCGTTGACAATGGTTAGGAGGGCTCGTCCTGAGAGTTGGATACTAGAAACGTATTCGCGTTGTGAAGATGTTAAAGATTCATCTTCACTAAGTAGATCCACCATACCAATCACACCCTAGAATAATTAGCATTGTGTTTCAACACGAGTAGGATATGAGAGAAAGTGTTTACCGCTGTTGGAGTGCGCATCTCATGCGACATCTTTGTGAATACTATTAATGATGTAATCCAAGAAATGTTGTGATTGGAGATTCTACACTCACATTGGCTAGAAATTGACTTTTCAACTTAGATGAATCTTTAGCTGCCTGTTCCTCAATCATCAACCTCGTGTTATCCATCTCTAACTGTGCTCGTTTTTCCACATCCGTGATATCAATACTGAAGCCCAAACAACCTATGACCTTTGGTGCTTTTCCGACATCATCACTGTTGTGTTCTAAATCTGCTACTAAACGTGTTCGGTAACTTCTTTCTCCTATCTTTTCTTCACATGTTACCATCTCTACTTTTCCAGCCAAGATTTCGCAGATAGATCTCTCATGACCTGGAAATTTGGAACATATTATTATCGATAGATCGTTGCCAGAGGAAAAGACTAACCCGGTATACCCCCAGGTTGCGTGCTTTGCATAAGTTCGATGACATCCCTTCCAGTCAGACTCGCCTTGTCTAGACACATCTCTTCAGTCTTCGTACCCCATAACATCCCCCCTTCTGCCATTGTAATCAATCTGTCCTCATCCACGCAAAACAAATTGACTTCGGTATGAGCTAGGACAGTTAACATTTGATGTTTGTTCCTCTTAGCCTCGATTCGTGATAACACAATATCAGTTATATCTGTATTTGTTCCATACCACTTCAGAACTTCTCCATTATCATCAAGTAGTGGGCAAGCTCTCGTGTGCATCCATCTGTAGATTCCATCATGCCTTAGGTACCGTATCTCAACCTCACAATCCTCGCCCGTTCCTCGACCTTCTATCCACTTTTCTAAAAGTAGGGGCAAGTCCTCTGGATGAATCACGTTCTTATAATTGGTGCCGAGACATTCTTCCTTGGACATACCTGTGAATTGATACCACTAAACCGCACGTTAGTCTAATATGTATAAGAACAGTGCTTGCGAAACATCCTTACCCTTTCAGAATACCAGTCGCATTTTCCATCGGGCGTAGCCGTCCAAACTAGATGCGGCATCAAATCACAGATTGTTTCGTGACTTCGTAATAAATTGTCCTGTTTTTCCATCAGATATTCACCATAATCTTGAATATCACACCAGATTATCGCCCCTAAGAAGTCTCCAGTCGTTTCATCGTAAAGACATTCCCCAGTAAGTAAGCCTGTCATGCGATTTCCGCTTGTGGGATGCAGAAATCCACATCTATAGTTGGTAAAAGGTTGTCGAGTTCTTATCAACACTGCTCCGGGATATTCCTCAGGCGGTAATTGATGAGTGTATGTTTCATCCCATACCTCTAGGGTATCTAAGAAAGCCAACCCTTCGTGTCCATCCTCATCATCTCCCATGACATCACCTAAAATATCTCGAACCTTTCGATTTGGCAAGTGAAACCCCTCGTCTGCAGTAATGAAGAATGCTGCCGTATTAACACTTTCAAACACTGCATTTCGCAAATCACAAAGGGTTTGCTCTCTCGTTCGCAATGTTGATTTTCCTTGAGGATCTCTCTCTTCATTTGATGTTGATGTTGATGTTGATGTTGACTTTGAATTCGAGTTGGCCGAATCATCTCCTTCCATGGATGTCGATAATTCGAAGGAGAAAATGAAATGAATACCATTAACCCCATTCAATACCTCAATGCAAACTCGAAAAAAGCGTTTCTGATTCTTCAGCTTGAATGCATTGTTCACAACAACCTCGAACCCACCAGACGAATTAGAGTCTCCAAAATGGGGTAAAGTATCAGCAAGTCGAGAAAGCTCAACATCTTTGAGGACTGGCGCCCACGAACGATCATCCAACAATCTGACACCCAGCTCGTCCAAATGCTTTCCAATTATTGGACTTTCAGATTCTCTCAAAGAGTCCCCGCCTCCTAATAAAGCCTCCGCTTTCCAATTTGTCCATAGCGCTTTCCGATTCTGATCCAATACTAACACAGGTGTAGGTAAATATCTTAGAATGGACAGCTGAAGGTCGATATCGATTCGGTTTGGATCTGGCGGCCGAGAATCATCGTCATTCTTTCCGCGGTGCATCATATTCCGCGTTGTAGTTACCGACGTTGGGTGGAATGTGCTCAAGATCAGAGACTTTAGGTGGGTTTCCTACTTGCTATTAAGATACATGTTTTCTGATGTCGTGAGACGGTTCAATTGTAGTTGATGAAAGCTAAGTCCAAAGACGTATCTGTATTTGAAATCGATCGGGGAAGCTCAAGCTTTGACTAACGGTTCACTGGATCTAAGGGCTTTGGACTTTCTGTCAATTGAGTCAATTTGTTTAGCTCTTTTTGGAATTGCCAATATTGATTTCTTGCTTTGAAGTATATGATTTGAGAATATTCAATTACTCAAGTAGGAAAATTATATTGGTTTCATGAAATAAAACAAAGATTCCAAATATGGGTTCCGCATCATAGTGCTTGCCACTCCTAGGACTTTTTCTAGAACTAACATGACGATCAAATATCCAATCTAGTAACTAATTGAGTTCTAGACTTAGTACTAGTGATAAGATAGGAGAGAATCAACGGCAAGAATAAACCTATCAGCGGCACACTACCACTAAATGATTGGAGCACTATAGACTAATATAGTATGTATAATCTTGGATCTAATCGATAAAGCCTGTCAGTAACAATTTCAAAAGCTCATCGCTGACTTGAAAATCAAGATCATCAACAACTGTGGGACTTGGTGAAATATAATTTATCAAAAAGAGACGGCGGGAGGAAGATATTCAATATTCACCGACTATCTCATCCTTGAATTCTGCCCCGGTGTTTAAGCGCATCTCCTCATCCATCGAATTCCAAAATTAGCACACTATCCAGGGCATCTTCTCGTCTTCATCCTCGGCATCTCTAGACTCTTATTTCAAATGTCTGGATAAGGCAGAAATTATCGATAGTGTCACAGCAAAGGATAAGGCGGAAAAAACATGCGCGGTAGAGAGTAGAGGATTTGAAAGTAATTGTGCTACGAGTTGGGTGAGTCAAAAATGGGAGCTGAGTATCAGCGCAGAAGATGCTGGGAGCAACGTATGAGAAGAAAGGACTAATTTTACTTTAAGAAACGAAGAGTTATGGAATATCAACGCGATCAGACATTACAGAAGTTGAAAGTAGGACCTCCAGTTCTGGGACAATGATGATGAGGGTTTGATGAACTGTACAACAGCACATGGGATGATGGAGTACCGGTCATGGGATTACACATGGGATTGATTTCACGATAATGAACATCTCAAATTTGTCCGCGAATTTAGCGCTTCTCGACGAAGACTTTCGAAATTTATCTATCAGAGCAATCGATTGATGGACAGGTTAGGCAAATTTGGTACGTATACTTCATAAGTGTGTTCGACGGCAATCCTGCGTACTTACAAAAGATAATAGAGCATATTCCAGGAAGTTATATGTAGCCAATTGAAGTTCAATTGGCTACTAAGTTAAGATTCAAGTGACATCTCCATCACATCAACTCATCGCAGAAAGGAAGAATTATCCCTTTAATGTAGGTTGATAATGTCCAGAAGCCTGCACATAACCTATACATCCTAGACGTAGTACATGTGTGTAAATGTATACATGTAGATGACATTGGATTAATATCTAGGCAATTGAATCCATTTCTCCCATATGCATCAAGTTTCAGGATAGTGATACTAGCAAGAAAACTTGAGACATCTAATGGACTTTGGTTTAGTGTTTGTTCCCCGGATCTGCCAACTCCTGATGTATGAAACATTCCCACAGTACACCGGTATTCACGTTTCACATAATATCCTTCAAAACTTAGATCCCATATTTATAGAATGATAAAAGACTCGGATGAACGATTACTCAAATACTTTTCTATTGCCTACGAGATCCCCTTAAGTCAAACTTCCTCAACCCTAAATAAGTTTCACCGCTTCCATTTTAACATCTTCATTGGCAGAATTATAAACAACAACCGCATCTTATTATTCACGAATCTCGAATCTCTATCATGACAATATCAATATCGCAACCACATCGTTCACCTGCACTGCAGACTGGTCTATCACCACCAAATTCCTCACATAAGTCGCAAGTTCGAAAAAAAGTCTGGGAAGAACTTCGTCATGTAGCTATTCCCGATTCTCGGTTCGACCACGATTACTCCTCATTCATTTGCGATTTCGTTGGGTCAAACGACGCTGGTCGTCAGTTGATCGGTTTACCATGCTATACATCCGCGGAAACTATCTTTATAGCTCCTGATAATTGTCTTCAAGAGTTGCGATATCAAGCTTTAAAAGATAAGAAAACTGTTATATGTACGACGTATGGGATTAAGAGGGGATTCTTTGTTTTGAATCCACAAGAGATAACTGAACGAAAGTGGGAGATTGCCAGTTTTTTGGATGGAATGGAAATATATGGACGATATGTCACCTTGACCGAACTTCGAAGTGAGGGTTTAAAAATTCCATTGATGGTTACAGGTACTGGAGCAATAAACTACAAAGGTCTTCGATTTGGGAAGGGTCATGGGTTCTTCGATTTAGAATGGGGAATGCTCTACTCCATTGGCACTGTGAATAAAGATACGAAGACAATAGCCTTGGTTCATGAGTGTCAGGTACTGGACGAAGAATTCAAAGGGGAACAGTGGGACACGGGATGCGACTTTATTATAACAAACGAAAGAATCATTACGATCTCTGGAGCGGCAAAACCAGGATATGGAATCATATGGGACAGATTGGAAAAGGGAATGATGGACGATATTGAATCTTTGAGGGAGTTGAAGAATATTATCTCTCCGCCGGAATTGAAATCTCCACAGGAGCAAATGGATTTTTCGGAAGAAGCACGGTTGTATATGGATTACGCAAATTTTGACTATTAGAGTAAGGAATGGGAGAGCAAATACATATGAGCAACTTTGAATTGGTTAGTTGGCAGTTGATTCATACTACTTTAAAAGGGTGCGGTTCACATTTCTTGAAAGGTTTGTATTCTAGTAGCACTGGCTGGAGAATGCACAGCAGCCATATCTTTGAGCATGGCCGTAGAGCGTAGATCTCTGTCAGTATGCCAGTGTATGTATCATGATGTAAGTTCTCATCCTGAACGTGTACATTTACAAGGTTCTTTGTAGAACTGAGAATTATATATACATTTATATTGCCAGAAAATATACAAATCGCCGTTAAGATATGAAAATATACTCCCTTGTAGTTTACTAATATAAGATACCACCTTATTCAGATTTGTATACTTTTCGGAGGCACAAAGTACTGAAACTGGTGTAGATATCATTATATGAATAAAGATCAGACTTAAGATGAATCCCTTTTTGGACAATTATTTTAAGCGCTGACCTGACGAACCTGCGCCGCCAACATAAACAAACCGCAGGAGGTTTTCCGATCTGGATTTCTGTACATCACTCTTTATTACGATTGCTTACAACAAGCTTTGTACTCGAGAAAGAGCTCCATTACACTACATCAATCCGATAATCACGAGATTCATCCTGAGCATTTTCATTACTGGTAAATTATAAAAGAATGAGGCAAAACCGTGCTCTCGTTACTTTCGGCGCAATAATTTTCGTAGCTTTGGTTGTCAGCTTGCTTCACCTAAATTCAAACGACTTATCGAATTATATTCCACAAGGGGCTCAAAATTATTTCCATTATGAGACACCTCCTTCATCAGAAGAGATCTCAAGGCTAAATAGAATCTTAAAGGAATTCATATCACGCCCAATTTTATCTTACGATGACGCCGTTTCATTAAACTCTCAAACCTGCCCGGTTGATGGAACCAATTTTGATCGAAATTCTATCGACGGCAACTCAAAAAAATGGGCAGATATTCCTTCATCTCAAATCTATGCGTGGCGAGAAGGAATTGTGACCAATTTACGTTGGAAACAAAATGAGGCAGTTGAGAGGATGACAACACCATCTTCTACGACCGATGAATTTGAAAAGGAGAAGAAGGGCAAAAGAGGAATTGTGATGGCTGCGGGGGATCGCCCAGCTCTAATCCGTGCTCGAACCTCTCTTCGACTTCTGAAGTCTTATAACTGCACCCTACCCGTCGAGATATTTCATTTCGAGTCCGAATTATCTGCACCTGCACTTAGCAGTCTTCTCTCCGATCTCTCGGAACTGCAAAATTCTGATTCCAGTACCAACGGTATTACTGTTACTATACGCAAAGTTGAAGAAGTATCCAAAGGATCTGGTTGGAAAGATTTTCAGATAAAGGGGGCTGCCATTCAACAATCTTCATTTGATGATATCCTCTATTTGGATACCGATTCTTATCCTTTACGCAATCCGGAGTATCTTTTTGAAGGAAGAGAGTGGAGAGATACGGGACTTTTGTTATGGCCAGATTACTCAAAATCTCATCCAACCAATCCAATGTGGCGTTTATTAGGTCAATCATGTCGGAATGAATATGAGGGGGAGTCTGGACAAGTCTTAATATCCCGAACTCGTCACCAGGATATTTTATGGTTAATCGAGTATTTTGCACTTCATCATGAAGAATTTTATGGATTTATGGGGGGTGATCGAGATTCATTTCGAGCCGCTGCACTTATTCTTGGAAAGTCTTGGACCGGTCCAGGCCGAGCAAACGCTGTTGGAGCTGCAAGGATTCCTGAAAATCATCAATCGGGAGGACATACGATGCTTCAAGCAGATCCATATGGAAAGTGGATGTTCGTACATGCGAATTTGATCAAACATTCTCATTTCGACAGACCTATTTGGTCTCAAGTTCATAGAATTCGAGACGATTTGTTCAAGGAAGGGACCACATTTGGGAATATTGATTCACCAAATGATAAAATCGGAGATGGAGTGAAATTGGATGTGGCTGTCAATCCTAGATTGATAACGAGTCTGTCTACTTTTGAGGGATATGATGAAGGTTTGATTGCCGTGGAAGATTGGGATTCATACGAAGAGTTAAAGGGATTCGAGGATAAGTGGTTTGGATTTGGTGGTGTGCATTAATGGAATATATGGGTGGTTTGGATTCAATATATTTGGTGTACTCAGGATGAAAGATGAAACAATTAGCAGAGAAATGAACAGTAGTATAATATTATAGTGAGTTACGTTTTGTATAGGAACATATATGGGATTTGGACTGAGGGATAGCAGGATTGGATTATGTTGCATCTGGAGCACGAAGTTTGAGAATGTAAGGTATTTTAGACGGTTCATCGCAATAGAGCTTCTGCTGCGATTCTGGATATCTTGTCTCTCGAACTAAAGCTCCTCTACCATTGAAAATCTGAGGCCAGCTGGGTTTATACACAAACTTATATTTCCTTGTGGCTTTGCGAAGGAGCCACACATAGAATTTGACCTCAGAAGCACTCTTATTTGGGTAAAGCCATAACAACTGCCCTTTCTCATTTACAAATCACAATACGAATACCTTTGCTTCCCTCCTTTGGATAAGGAACGAATCTATCGGCAACCATCTCAACATCCGTCTTGTCTGTGTGGTATAACTCTAACCAACCTTCATCTCCCTTATCCTCCTTACACCCAAATTTACGCCAGAGGGAGCCAAGCATCAGATACAATTCTGCATAAGCAAGTTGTATACCAAGGCATTGTCTCGAACCATGAGAAAACGGCATGAGATTACGCTTTAGGCGTGGGTCTTCGATGAAGCGCTCCGGGTCGAAGGTGAGAGGGTTTTGGAAAACTTTTGGGTTAAGGTGGATTAAGGGTGTCGCCATACCTACATTTGTCTAGTTGAGTTAGTGAATTGTCAATCCATAGAGTCAGACCACTTACACCTTGAGGAATGAGCCAAACTCTTTTTCCATCGTTGAATTTCAGAACTTGGTCGGGGGCGTTCCTTGTTTGTCGATTGCTAGTACCCATCGATATTCTAAGACCTTCCTGAATCACAGCACTCAAATAAGGAAGCTGCTCCATATCCCTGAGTATTGGCTCAACTGGAGGATCGGGAAGGGCTGTCTTCAACTCCGCTCGTAGTTTAATCAGAACCTTTGGGTTAGATAGTAAGTAGAAGGTCAATACCTTGCAAAGATGTTAGTGAAGATTGAAACGTTCTAGACCAACTGCTGTTACTCACGCTCAAGGTCCAAGAAGTTGTTTCCGTCCCAGCAATTGAAATATTCTGAGCCTCTTCAAGAAGTCTTGATCTACGTTTCTCGTGATCGGGCATTTTGCTATCAAGAATCTCATCGAACACTGTCTTGCCATCTTTTCCTTCTTGATGAGCTGCCTTGACTCTATCTATATTGGACAATAATTCCTACAGGGCTTAGTATGTATGTCATGGTAATCTAGTCAATTATGCAGACTGCTTACCTGCTTAAATTCAACGAATTGATTGGCACCGGGGTTCAATGTTTTGCGCAAAGACTTTGGAATCATATTCATCATAGGTATGAACCACGAGAATTGCACAGCCAATGGACCAAATTTGTGGAAGCCATCGATCTGTTTCCAGTCAGAAATCAAGTCATCTATGTGTTCAATTCACGTCAGCTTACCATGTGAAAGAATGCAGCATTGAAATTCGGTGCTCCCAACCAATTCGAGTTGAAACCATACGCGTACTCAGATATAAGGTCATTGGTGAAGGCGCCGAACATTGGTAAACAGTTGATGGGTTTTCCAGTGTCTTGAAATTCCCGGATCCTCATGAATAAATTTTCCATATTCGTTTTCATCATTGGTTCAAGCCTGCGAATTGAATCCTTTGAAAACATCTTAGACATCGCACTTCGTCTCATACGATGTAAATCGTGGTCTACTGTTGCACCACCAGCTTCTGCGAATCCAAAAAGCTGCATCAATCTTCCACATTTATTCCGGCGTCGACCTCCAGCTGGCATCAACTCGGGAATGAATGATGGATCGTTAATATGCAGTTCGTCAGGTGTTACCCTCACGATGGGTCCGTACTTTTCATGCATTTCCTTGATTCTGAAGATATACTGGCCACCTCGGATGAAATCATAATAAAATTCGTACCAGAGGGTCATGCCCGAAAGTTTTGGACCTGGGAATGATGCCAACGGGTGGAGAGTGATTCGATAGATGTAAAGAAGGATAATACAGAAGATAATTGCTGTACCAAGATTGGTCCAAGACAGACTGGTGAGTATTTTCATGATATCCATCGTTCTTGGATATTAATCAAAGAGATGACTATGACAAGATTGATGGATATATTGCTGCTGTCTCTCAGACGGAACAGCTTTTGTTTCTTTTTGTTTGTTGAGAAAATCCGAGGTTTGTTTACAATTAATTGTTACCAAAATTGGCTGGCTGGATCTGTTTCTGAGTTGATGTCACCATCAACATTATTCAATGCTGTACATGCCAGGTAACCAAATCAAGTTAGACATCATAAATGGCTCTTAGGACATTTAGGGAACATTAGAGCTCTTATCCGGTAACCTTGTAACTTTGAGTAACATGTCTCTCCTACAAATTTAGAGCACATATGTGGTGCTTCGTCTCATTTGGATGCAAAAGCTTAGACATCTCCACCAAAGCCTTTATTGCCATTAGTAGTGTTCGAAACTTTTTCTGTCATATATTGCAGTTGAATTGGATTTCTTCATGAATTTATTTGCAAACTTCTCTTGAACTACGAAGGAATACCAATACCAATTACAATGGCAGAAAAAACTCTAGAATCTCTTGCCTCCTCGATTCAGCAGTTGGCATCCGAAGTTCAAAATGCTCGGCAAAAGGGCAATGAAGATCTTGAGGCCTTCGACAAACTTATCGACGCATTAGATGATATGAGAGCGGACCTCGTGGGCCCTATGAGATGGCCTGGGACACTTTTCGCTCCTCCTGACTACGGAGCTCTTCAGACTGCCTTTCTTCATGATGTCTTTCAACATGTCCCGACCAGTGGTAATGATACTGCAAGTGCTTCGATTCATGTTAGAGATTTATCTAAATTGGTTAAAATCCCTGCAGATATTCTACTCCGTATCATGCGTCTTCTCGTCGTCAATAAAATGTTCCTGGAAATAAACGAAAAGGTTTTCATTCATACACCATTATCAGCAGGTATGGCGGATGAAATGGTCTCTGCTCGTCTTGGGGGTATTTTCAATGGTGTTTTCAAGGCATCCTCAAGTTTATCTGAAGCCATCGATGCAGGGAAGAGAAGTGCATGGGAAGTCAGATTCGGAATGCCGATGTATGAATACTTTGAGAAGATTCCAAAGTCCGACAGAGATCGCATGGCCAAGTCAATGGCGGTTTCTTCCATCAAGGAAATGGAAGATCTTTCGGTTATCTTCCCATGGGAAAAATTCAATAAGATTGTCGATATTGGTGGCAGTGCGGGACATTTGATGGCAAATTTGACAAAGGTAAAAGCTGTCCCTTTTCCATGACATCTGCTACATAGCTAACAATAATACAGAGATTTCCACACCTCCAAACAGTCAGTCAAGATCTCCCTGAAGTGACTGCCGATCAAATCCGGCGGGTAGCAGATCTCCCCCTTTCTGAAAAGGCCATCTACGATCGCGTCGAGTTCGAATCTCACGATTACTACAAACCTCAAACGCGAAAAGATGCCGATGCTTTTATTCTACGACGCTGTCTGCACAATAACCCAGATGATGACTGTATTAAGATGTTAAGAGCTGTTGTCCCTGGTCTCGAGCATAATCCTAAAGCAAGGTTGTTGATCAATGAGAAATTAATGCCGGCGTGGAATAGCAGTGATACAAGATATAAGACAAAGATGCTAAGAAGAGAAGATATTACCATGATGATTAGTGTAGGAGGGAAAGAGAGAACTTTAGAGGAATTTGGGGGGCTGGTTAAGGCGGCTGATAAGAGGCTTGAAATTTCGGAGGTCTATTATGGGAAGAATCACTTTTCTGTCATTTCAGTGAGGCTTGCGAAGTAGAGACTTCTCGAAAGTAGGGGAATTTTAGGAGAGAGCATTTAACATGCGCAGGATGTTTGGACATATCGACGGACTACCGTTCATAGCTAAAGTTTGTGATCAGTAATTCAGAAGTTGTGCTATAATCACATCTGTTGAATGTGTCTCCCAAGGGCTCCTCCCTCACTGTTTCATTGATTTTCGGTCGATATCTGTACTTTTCACTTAAATGAATCTCCAGTGGCACTGCATTCATTTCTGTGATATCTGCAAATCACGGAATTAAGTGTTACCTGTGAAAGCGCCGAACATCGTACCGCTCGGTGTAACTTCCACGCCCTTCTTAAAGGTAAAACATATGGCGAATGATACATGGTTACATATTAGTCATCTAGTGATGAATTACTTATAATCCATTGCCCGTAGAGTTAGTACTCTCTTTCACACCAGAATACATTCCCATCATTCAGCTTAGTGTCCCTCCCACCAGCCTGCTTGCAAGGGAGAAAGCTACAACCCGACAGCATAAGAATTGAGCTGTGTCTTCTTAGAAGCTGTGTAACTGAGCTTATAATAAGAGTGCATCCTCGCACAACTTAACACTTCACCATTGAACGACGCCTAAGTTGCAAAAGCCAAAGGTCTTTAATTCTGCATGGTGTCACTGCACGATCTCAAGATGTTACACTGAAGCGACTCATAAATGAAACCAAACACGATCGACCGAAAGTGAGCAGATCCTGTAGAAGTAGATATGTTATGAGAACCTAAAGCATCCGGTCGTGGCTTGAAGTTGACTGAAAATTTATCGCAGTCTCATATAATATAGTGCCTCTTGAGTACAAACAAAAGCTCCCACGTCTCTGTCACATGGAGCAGTATACCTTTATGTGAGAACTAGGTTCAGCAAACACAAAATTAGCCTCAGGGACCGGAGTGAGATGTGCGACACGCCATTCGTTCTCTCCGGCGCTAGTCTTCGCCTTCGAGACATCAATCTAAAATTGTTCACATCATATGTGAAGACTGATTTATATTCAATATTGTGTACACTTTAGGCTTACCATATATCACAATGACATAGGTTAGCTGATTTTCGTATCACTTACCACCTTCGCCGTATGTGTAAAGCGGAGCTAATCCGACTTGCTCGCACCACTGGGAAAGGGGGAAGGGTAAATTACAGCTATGCAGCTAATGTCTTCATCTAACTTGAAGAAAAAGTATCTGAAGCGAATACAACACGAAGTATCAAATGTCAGAAATGTTTAGATGTGATATTGAGTGATCAACTTGTCGTTTGCATTATTCGGGTCAAGCAATCCCAAGAATCAAACCAATATGAAATGTCTGAAACAAAACTCCATCACGCATGTCAAAAGTCTAAAGATTGCAGACAGCCTTAAATCAATTGAGGCACGCTACTTAATGCAAGCGCACACCTCCGGCACCACAAGCTCCTTGGCAGTCTCGAAGCCTCATCATGTGATGTAGCATATTTGAGTGATCCCACTATAGTTACTTATATGTCACGACCCAGTGGGATGTTGTATTTGTTTACCCTACGTGTGTTCCGGCCAAGATACTGTGTTGTAGACTGTCTTTTGATTCCAGGAAGCATCTGCAGGCTGAGGTTGGGATTGGCTCTTTGTAAATGGACAAGTTTGACTTGTGTTGGGACCAGTTGGGTCAATGTTTGTGGGAAAACTCAATTCTAGCTCCGTGCTTCCATTTGGTGATTTTCAGCTAGGAAAAAGGCATGGGCGTAAGATTTTGATTCATCCTACGAGGGGTTTACAAGTGTATTCTACCTAGCGTTGTGTCGTTTGCTTCACATCGTGTCTACTTGATCAAGTTTCCCATGAGAATGATACGGTATAGAGTAGTACATGCCGAGGATATATCCCCTTCTTTAACCCTTTGATTACTTTGAGCGTCGGCGAGCAACTCATAGCTCGCACAATAAAGTGAATTTGTGCTGGATTGGGAGGAGTATGCCCATTAACCCTATGGTCTTACAAAACAGACTGAGTAAATAGTATTATCGTTGGTGTCAAAGCCTTGCCGCCTCACGTCGACGCGCTATTACATTTTATCGATTCTGAGGTTCAAGAAGAAAGATATAAGGCTCGAGGCATCCCTCCACCTCGAACCACTCTCAAGTCAATCACTCCTTAATCCACATTGTTTTCTCGCAATCATGCAATTCGGTGCCATGAAGTCCTTGAAGCTACTTGGCCTTGCAGCCCTTTCCGCTCTACCGACCGTCTTGGGTGACAGAACACCTGAAGAGATTTACAACTTCTTCAAGACGGCCCTAAGTCCTGGCTCTGGGGTGTTTTATGCCACTGACGGTAATTTTTCTCAGGAGGTAACTCCACGCTGGAATGCATACGGTGCACCTACATACGTGATAGGAATCAAGCCTGCTTTAGAGACTGATGTTCAGATCGCCGTACGTTTGTATCTCTGTTTCTGCTCACTCATTCGTTACTCAATACTGAATATGACAATAGGTCAGATATCTTAGCCTTCATCACATTGATTTTTTGGGAACTGGAGGGGGCCATGGATACACTACCACCATGGAAGAAATTAAGGCAGGGGTCGAAATTGATCTGGGTAACTTCAATTCTGTTGCAATTGACAAGGCCGCCAACACAATGACTGGGGGTGGTTCTATTCACTTCCGTGATCTTACTGGACCTCTACAAGATGCTGGGAAAGAACTTCGTCAGTATTGCACAATTAATATACATGTCATTCACTGACACTTCTTTAGCCATCGGATCTTGTACTTGCGTCGGTGCAGTCGGCGCGACACTTGGTGGAGGCATTGGAGCTTACACTAGTAAACACGGACTCATTGCTGACTCCCTTTTATCTGTGAGGATGGTCACTGGAACCGGTGACTTAATCACAGTATCTGCCAATCAAAATTCTGACCTCTTCTGGGGTTTAAAGGGAGCCGGGTTCAATTTCGGGATTATCACGCAAGCGACTTACAGGATTTACAACGCCAGCAATGGAGGATATGCCATGAACGCTGATCTGAGATACTCGGCTGAATACAATGAGTCAATTTGGAATGCTTTGAAACAATTTGAGCATGATCAACCAGTCGGGTTATCTTTCGACCTTGGTATTGGGTGGAACTCAACTACTGGTGAAGTAAGTTGCTTAAATGATTTGTTTGAGAGATGTAGTTGTTAACCCTTCACAGACTTACTTCGCCTTGAACGCTATCTGGGCTGGTCCCCTCGAGGAAGGCGAAAGTTTAATCAAGCCTTTCTTAGACATTCCCATACAGCTTAAGAACATCACTGAGATTCCATGGAGTCACATCGAAGCCGAGTCTCGCTTTGGAGTTGACTCATATGGATGTGTAAAGGGTCGCTCCCACAGTGTTTATGGGAACAACCTTTACTCTCTCGATGTGCCGACACTAATCGATGTTACCAACTACCTTGATCAAAGTTATAAGCAATACCCACCACTACAATTTTCCGTTTTCGCCATGGTACAATATGGAACGACCGTTATGAACTCAGTAGCAGATGGAACCGCCGCCTACGCTTTCAGGAATGTGGTTGCTTACATGTAAGAATTATTCTGAGCCTGTTTAAACTTCCTGCGTTTATCACTAACACAAACTCTTCAGTCACTTTGACGTCTCGTTCCCCAACTCCACATGGGAAGCTGCCGCCAACGAAGTTGGAACTACCACTCGTGAAAAGTTATACAGAACTGATGGATCTGCTACCAAGGATGTATTTGTGAATTTTGCCCATGGTGATGAAGGTCCAGAGTCCTGGTATACGAAGAGAAAGTTGCCCAGACTCTTAGCCTTGAAGAGAAAGTATGATCCTCATCGAGTCTTTACTCACTATAATGGTCTTTAAAAAGTCTATTGGATGAGCTTTGGGGTTGAACCTCCCTACTTTGATTTGGGAATGGGAATAATGACAGTCGGGGTGAAGAAATCCTCTTTTATGAGGTGATTCGTTTGGGGTGGCTTCAACAAGAGTAATCTATGGAGTACCCTTACTCAGTTAATAATGGCTTTCAAAAGAATTGTTTATGTTTTGGGTCTCTACCTCGGCTTGATTTGTTTCATTGATTGTGATGTCAGGGGAAATTCCGACGCGTTCACCTCCCTTGCTACATCGAATTCCACACATGTCTAGACAGGAATGCAATAATTTATCCAAATGATAAAACCTCCCATATTACTCACTGTTGATTTCGGACATAGCTGAAGGTAAATTTTAAGCACATCAACAATTATCTCGCAGCAATGACTACAACGACTTCATCTATCGGTGGTATTACCGATGGAGGACTCTTTCCAACTTTTGTTCCTAGTGATGTTGCGGGTCAGACTGTTTTGGGCTGTCCTATCGTGAGTTAACCTTTTCCTTTTCACTCGTCAACTGCCTCCATCCTTCTTTGAAGTTCTCCTTCACTAATCTTGTTCCAATCAGTCATCCTTCATGTCTCTCGACTCCAAATGTCCTATCACGGGCACCGATCTCCCAACTTGCGCAACGCAGACTGGTCCTTTTGACGGCGGTTGCTGTTCTTCTCTCAGCGCATTTGCTATCAGCGTCGGGGATTGTTATAGCAGTAATGCACCAGATTGTTTGAATTTGAGTGGTGAGTTGGCATTTTCTTGTGGCTTTCATTCCTGTTTAGAGCCAGTTCACACAGATCAACGGACATAGAAGGGAAGGGATGACAACTAGAATTAGCTGACAACATCAGAGCTTTCTCAAAGCTTAACTGCCTTCAGCGCAACGGCAACCGACGATCAAATCACCAACCCCTGCGCTCAATTCGCTTCCGAAACTGGTATCAGTCAAGCCATCGAAACTGGACAGACTACCGAGACTGGACAAGCTTCCGAGACTGGGCAGACTACCGAGACTGGAACTGGGACGAACAGTGCAAACGCTGCTGCTACGACTTCCAGTTCCGGAAGTCCGAATGAGAGAAGAAACATTGGATTGAAGACTATTGCGAGTTTAGCATTGGTGGCCAGTCTAAGTGTTTTGTGGTTGTGATGGGCGAGACGGGACATCCCAGAGGAGTTTGGTTGATAACTTTGCCAGTATGGATGTTGTGGGTGCTTTTTATAGGTCTCTGGGGTGAAGTTGAGGATGAGAGTGGCGTTGATCTTTTGGTTTGGTGGATGCTATGTATGTTATCCTTCAGTGTCGTCAGTGGGTTTGGAATTTATGTTGGCGTGGAATTAATATTGTTAATTCAAATCATTATCTTACCTCTTGCTCTCTTGCTAGGTTTCCAAGATCTGATTTAGAGCTATATCCGCCATGAAATTAACTGCATACTTTACTTGTGTTTCGCCTGGTCATTTTCCTGTCCCTTCATTACCCAGTTTGAATGATGTTTTGCATACTCCTCCTCACCTTTCTTAGTTTTCATTTTCTCCTTCATTTGAAACGCCTCTGGAACGTTCAATCCCTTGGTCACAGCCGGACGACCGTTTATTCTCTTTAACCAATTTACAATCTCGGGGTATGGAGAGGTATCTATTTCCGCTTCATTCTGCCCACTAGTTCTCAACGTCAGTATTCGTCGTTTTGGAACTAAAGATACAACCAAAAGGGTATAGGTCTAACATTAGCCCATGAAAAGCAAGCCAGGTCAGCAATAGTTAATTTGTCACCGACGATCCATGGACCTGGGGATTGATTGGTACTCTTTTCTGGCCCAGCGGTAGAATCGGTAGCATTGGCTACAGTGTGATTTTGACGTTTTCGGGAGCTGAGACGAGCCTCGAGGATACTGTAGAGGCGTTTTGTCTAGGAATCAGGGGATAAGTATGATGTTTGAACGGACTGAAATTGTGAGAATGGAAAGGAAGGAGCATACTTCGGTCTGGTAGCGATCTATCGCATATTCAATTTTCTCTGGAGCATAGCGGTAGAAGTGATTTGCTTGGCCCTATTTCGACATATGTTAACATGTGAGTTCGGAGGATGAAGATGGTTACCACGGGAACATACTTGCATGGGACCAATACCACTTTGCATCCACATTACCCACTCGACTACTTCGCAGTATCTACTCTCCAAGTCAGTATTTTGGCTTCTTCTTTCATTTGCGTCCATATTTCTCATCCTCAACATGAAAACATACCGGTCACTATCAAAAGGATAAGAAATTCTGTAATCCTTGTCATACTTTTGCGTCAAATACAAAAGAATAGCACCTCCTTCAAATACCCTCTTTTCGCTATCCTTCCCATCAGAACTGACTGGAACATCATCCGAGCCGGTAGATCGATCTATTATGGCAGGGATTCGTCCATTTGCTATGCTGTATTAGTTATGTAACCAACGACAAATTAAATGTCTCTAAATTAAGGTGACTTCAACATACGATTGATCTTCAAGTACCAATCTTCTTTCTGTTGATTCTTCGAAATATCAATATGAGTAGTCTCGTACTTCAATCCTAACTCCTCGAGTGTGATAGAAACCTTTTGGCGGTTGGGTGTACCGGCTGTGTAGAACCTGGTGGTAAGTTAGCTTTGAGTAATATGAAGAACGAAAAGATGTTTCTCCTACAATATATCTGTCTCTGGTGTCGCCATGTTTGTGATGATGGTTTCGAATTTGATATCAGGCGTGGTGAAAAGTCACCGACTTGAGTTGGAGAGATCAACACCCCGCACTACAACACTTGAGTAGAATGCCGATGACGTATGCGTAGTTGCCGAACCTCCTGACTCGTTAGCGCATCCATTTCCGGGGAAAATTGCTGATCTGATCTGGACCAGGTCTGGACATTTGACTATAAATGTAAAAGACTTGATTATTCATTGGAGTTCTCACGATAGAATACCAAGTCAATATGGTTGAGCAATTCCAGAATGCAGAGAGTTGTTGTGGAACAGAAATGGCGTTGGCGAAATCTGAGTACTGGATTTGAGCACTGAAGACTTCACCAAGTATGTCTCGACATGTGCCTATATTGGGCATCAGTGTGAAATTCTTCGTATTTGGAATGATAAGATTCCTGTCTGCAGTTTAAAGATCGCAGAAACCATAATCCAGAGATGTACATTGTTTCGAAGAAATTCTGGAAAAATGCCATGTTCATATCATTCGCCATGTCGATTGTAGACAATATGAAATATCCCAAACGCCAGATCCCATATATGTCTCCATTCGCCTTCCCATTCGTCTATGGACATCATGATCGTTATAATGTTAGCTCGTCAATCATCAAAATCCGCTTGCTATCCACGCAATATTGTACCTGCAATCAATCATCCCCAACTTCAACAACCCTCACTCCAGCTCCTTTCTTCTCCCCTCTTCCAAAACCTGGAAAAGAGCTAACCTTGACCTCCACCCTCATCTCCTTTCTCTTCTCCACCTCGCCTACTAACCTTTTGAAATAAACTTCTGCTTGTATAGTCGCGCTGTAAGCCATCGGAGTCCACATCCAAACATTTCTCCTCTCACTGTCCGCACCTGCAGCCAATAATGTTCTCAATACCAGCATATGTCCATTACTACTTGCAAAATGCAATGCCGTATTTCCATCCGCATCTGAGTTTGCCAATACTTCTTTAGGATCTTTATGCAAAGCAGCACATGTAAGGAGAATCTGCAAACAAGTATCATGACCTCCACGACTAGCATACATAATTGCATCTCGACCTCTCATATCCCGTCTTAGTATACCTGATACGGCGGATCCTTGCGAGCATAGCAAATTCACAAGATCGGTGTGCCCCGCGCAGGCGGCGAGCATAAGGGCAGTCTGATGTTCTTCATTGAGAGAGATAGAAAGAGACTCATGGCCGAGCGATAAAAGGAGAGAAGCAACATCAAGGTGGCCGAGGGAGGAGGCAAGGTGTAAAGATGTGTTGGAGAGGCCGTGAGGTGATGAATCGGGGTTATGGAGGAGGGTAGGATGGGATTTGAGGATTCGATTTACGAGGGAAGCATCGGGACTGTGAATAGCGCGGCGAAGGCGGAGCGTGGTTTCAATCCTACATGAATAATGTCAGAGATGAATCTAATATAATGATCTTGTGTTCGTAAAGAGCTGCTTATTATTCTTCGGTAGAAAGGGAAATAACTTACATGTTCTCAGCATATCTACCTTTTTCTGTATCTATAACAACAGCTTCTCTGCATATGAACACAGCTCTCTAAGAAAACCCGATTAACTCCAACTTGTCACTGCTGTGATGCTCTTGATCTGATCTGATCTCTGCAACTGCCCCACCAACCATCTAACGGGTAACCTGTTACCGGTACTCCCGTAAATCTTACATCTTTCCCCATACTTGGGGAATTTATCGATTGCTTACATAATCATAATTTAGTGCGTCATCTGAGATAAACAAACATCTGAGCTATGAATTGAATTGTACAAAAACAAAACAATCAAACAAGCATTTATAGAGCTGGTTTTGGTATCAATCTGATGCCGAATTCTCGTTTCAACCCTAGTGTCGCATTCAGACCTATGAAAAGTGTAGTCAGCGCATCCTTTCTCTATCCATTCAAAGGTATCTGGTACTTTTGCGCCGATCGACAATTCTATCCTCTCTTTGGCAAAAGACTAATTCCTCTCACAATAACCTCAATCGTTGTTCTCGGTCTTCTTTTCACATTTACCTATCTTCCACAGGTAGCTTTTTTAGCTATTTGGAATGGTCCTGGAGCATGGTTTAATGCTGCATTTCTTGTCCTTGGTGAAGGGCAAATATTGATTGCTTTATTGTTTGAAGCATTACTGGTGGACGAGGCCTTGGTAGATGTCTTTGATGTATGCAATCCTTCAATTATACCATCTACAGAACTAACGCTATGCTATATTACAGGCTACACTTATCAAGGAAGGTCTCATAGATCTCGTCTCACCATCTCGACTCCTCCATCACGATGCCCCGAATGAAGTCAAGATGCTAGGAAAGCCCACAACTTCTGCCATTTACTCTCCTTTTTCTTTTCGCCAGATAGCAGAGTTCATAATATTCCTCCCCCTCAATTTCATACCTGTGGTTGGAACACCTGCGTTCTTGATCCTAACCGGTGCAAGAGCTGGACCTTTACATCATTGGCGGTACTTTAAATTACGAGGCCTGACGAAGAAGGAGAGAAAAAGAGAGACGAATAGCAGGAAGTGGAACTATACATGGTTTGTTATTCCTGATTTGACCACGGCGGTATGCTGACCAGAAATTAGGTTCGGAACAGTTGCTTTATTATTACAACTTATACCTGTGCTTTCCATGTTTTTCCTTTTGACTTCCGCAGTTGGATCAGCTTTATGGGTGGTAAAGCTAGAGGAGCAGAAGAGATTAAATGTGGCAGATACGTTGGTTAACAATGCTGGTCTTCCAGATAATAGAGAGATTGATGAGGAGGCACGCCCGGCATACACTGATGATCTTATATAGAGTTCTGATATGATTTCCATCGCTGTAAATCTTTCTTGTCTAACTGATGTTCAATTCTACCTGGCGAAAATGTTCTTTCACCTCTTCATATTTGTGTCAATTTCCAATACCACTCAGTAGTGGAACACCATAACAACAAATAGACACTTGCAAATCGAAGTCATGCATTACTTCAGATAGATGAAATTGATCCCTTCCACTTTCAATCATCTCGCCTAGATAGCTAGCACAATACGGCAAAAAGAGGTGGCAAAGCGCAGAGAGAAGGTTGGAAGATTCTGACCACTGATAATAATCCAATCAGGCTCGGCTACAAACAAACCTGTAGTCGATCGAGTGTCCCAACTATGAGATTATCAAAGTCTCTGACGGGGAGGAGCCTGGAGTATGATTCATGTAACTCAGTGAAAGATCTCAAAGTCTATGGCGGAGAAGATCACAAGTACCAATGCATGTGCACCTCTATCCCCCCCCCATCCCCCCACAAGTCATGTAATATCGGTAGCATTAAGTATTTAGGTAGATGTTTATTATTCATCAACTATCGAGCATCCCCCGGAAATGTCCTGAACAAATTGGAGTCGGTGGATGAAGAGAAGATATACATCGCGAGACTTGGCGGGAAAGAGTTGCTACGCTACTCATACTTCTTGGAGCTGAATTACAAACAAATAACAAATAACAAATAACAACACGGATCTATGCGAATCATTTTTAGTTTGATGAGTAGATTGTTATTGCGACATGGATGATATTCTTAATGGAGATCAAGTGCGGCCGTGGAGAATCGATATTATATTAGGTCATGAAGATAAAGATGTATATCAGGTAGGAAAATCCTTTACTTACAGTCCGCACTGGCGCTGCTGTCAAACAAAGGGATGTTAGAGCTCTAAATCTTTTCAGACTCATCAGTTAAACACCCATATCTTGTCTTGTCTAGTACTACTACAATGCAGTAATAATGTATACAGAATCCTCGCCAGCACTTACACTTTCCCCCTATCCCCATCCTCATCCTCATCTCCATATCTATATCCCATCCACGTATAATCCTGACGCCTTATTTCGGTTACAGAAAGTCTTCAACGGCCTTCCAAACACATTTTCCTCTCTAACCTTCCCTCTGATCCACCCTGCCAATTTCCCCTTCACCTTCTCGTCCCTGTACCTCTCATCTATCATAAAGATCGCCGCCCAATCGTTCTTATGTCTAATCACCCTCCCTATACTCTGATTAACCGACCTCATAGTAACATTTAGATAATAATCCTGCGCCTTCTCTTTTGCTATTTTCTTGATCTCTTCTTTGGTCATCCCTGTCTTTCCTCCTCCTACTTCCCTTTCACCTTCCCCTTCCCCATTGCCAGTATCAGAATCGGAAGATAATCTCGCAATTGCAGCTTCCTCAATAAACTCCATCTTCCTCTTCCACTCCGCCGTATTAGCATTGGGAAATGGAATTCCTACAATAACCACACATCTACCTAAATCATCACTAAAATTAATCCCCTCGCTTAATTTGCCTCCCACAACACTAAAAAGCAATCCTCCCTTTCCCTCGTCAATACTCTTTGCATATTTCCCTAGAACATCTTCCACACTTTCCGTTTTCGATTCTTTGAAGAATCCCTTCTTTTTTGTCAATCCTGAGAGTATCGAAGTTTGGGTCTCCGAAGCGGGAAATGAGAAATACGTAAGGACGTCGTTTAGGAATTTGTAAGAGGGAAAGAATACAACTACCCCGCCCGGGATAACGGTACATATGTCAAGAAGAAGTCTACCTAATTCATCCTTCATGCGTGTATTCTCTCTATTCGCATACGTCCATCTGAAGTTCAAACCCGTAGGTCCTTGTGAGATCGAGCTTGCAAATAGGCTCGTATTGGGTATGACATGACCACAAGTCAATGTCGTGATTTTGTCGGGGGAGATAGAGGGGAAAAGAAGAGACGTAAAGTCTGAGAAGGGGGACATTGTTCCACCTGCTAGGATAACGGCTCGGGCTTCGGCAACGATAGGTTCGAAATGGGAGGCTGGGTCTAGGAGTTGGAATTTAAGGGTTATGAAATCGAAAGCCAAAGCGGGCGCTTCTTTGATAAAGAAGAGTTGACCTTCCGATGTGGGGTGGGTAAGGGCGAGGAGAAGAGAGGTGAGAGTATGGAGGATGGGTGTTGCTGATGGTTTTGGTGGATCATTGGCGTTATAGGGAAAGAGTGTTGCTTCCAAGGCGGTGGTGGTGGTAATGGTAAGGGCGTGAATGGTGTAGGATTCGACTTTGCGTGCTAATTTGCTTTCTTGAAGATATCTGATCAATTTAAAGAGGTTAATCTGATCGACTCCTTTCTCGGCAAGAAGTTCTTTTTCCTTGACCACTCCATCTATTTTCTAAGCAGTCATCTGTTAACATATTTGCCTTTGCTCGTCTCACAATACTCAGAGCCAAGAGTCAAAAGGAACAATAATACATACCATGCCTTTCAACCTCGTCGTCAAATAATGAATCAAACTATCCACCACCCTCACCACCTGCGCTGTGTAAACTCTGTTTTTCCCCTTCAACTTTTTTCCAAACTTCTTCAAGTAATTCCACACCATCTCCTTTGCCAATCTCAACTCCCTCAATGACATTTCCGCCCCATAAATCCCCTCTATGGCATCCATTAAATTATGCGCTTCATCTATAATCACCACATGTCCTTTGAGACTAATCCCTAAGGCTTCTCTCGCACTCTTCTGTAGGAGCAATGGATAAGGAAGGGTGACTATCTCAGCTGGTTTGATTGCAGAACGCGAGGCATAGTACGGACAGATTGAGATTTCCTTTCCTAGAGCTCCCATATCTTCGATATCGCGGATGGTGGCTAGTGCATGATCGCGGAATGTAGTGACGAGAGATTTATTGTCATTGTTTGGAAGATGAGGACATTTGTGTTCTTTTGGAGTAGAAGATTGTTGAAGTTCGGCGCAACGTTCATTTATTGCTGTTGCTGAGGTGAGTTTGTTTACTTTAGTATTGATGCAGAGGTTTTTGCGGGAACCAAGGGTAAGGTGTTTGAGGGGTTCACGGAGGCTATCTTTATCTTTGCCTTTTGGTACTGCTGGAGAATCTTCTGGGGGCATGGATGATGGAAATTCTACACGGCGGAGTTCGTTAATGAATTGGGTTAGCTGGGAATGAGTTCTTGAACAGTAGAAGATCTATTGGGCGTTAGTAGTCTGCATGAAACTAATAAGATTTCACAAACCTTCAACTCATCATCCAGTTCCTCTTCTTCATCCGTCCTCTTACTTCTCATACCAACACTCTCCATTAACTCCAAAGTCTCTTTCGAGAAAATGGCCTCATCTCCAGTCTTCCTCTTTCCACCACCATCCTCCCCATCACTGTCCCAATCTTCTAGCAAAAAGTCCTCCTCGCCATTATTTTCCCCCATCACAACATTTCCTTCTTCATCTCCCCCAATCTTCCTCCTCTTTCCACCTCCCATATCCCCCCTCCCACCCATCTTATCCCTCTCCCTCATCTCCCTTTCCCTAACCTTCTTCAACCTCTCCTCCATATCCTCTCTCCTACTAACCAATTCCTTCTTCTTCCTCTCTCCTGCCAATTTAATCACCCACTCCGGTTCCTCCGAATTCTCAAACCCCTCATTCCAAAGTCCCACGAATTCCTTCCTCTTGAAATCCCTCAACCATGTAAGACTCCCACAAATCAAACTCAAGCTCTTTCCTGTCCCAGTGGGAGATTCCAAAATCCCAATTTTCCCCTGTTCCAAAACATCATACACGGTTTGCATGAATGTTTCCTGGATTGGATAGGGGGTGTATGGATGGTGAAAATCTACAAGAAAGGTTTTCACCTCTCCATTTGGACTATTCTCATTGTGATTCATCACGTTTAATCAATACAATTAAAAGGATGATCGATAGAAATGAAAGCATTTCTCGAGGTATCTTGTGGCGCAGGTGAGAGTGTATCTTTGAAGGAGACGCGCTTTAGTGAAATTTTGAAACGCGAAGTCACGGCTTTTGGCGCAAAGAGAGATAGCTCAACCACAGCGCTGTCAGACTAAGATGTTATGTAGATACGTTTTGAGGTTATTGATTATAGCGTTCTTGATAAAATATATGGAAAGACGATGAGAAGAAGCTGAGAAAAGAAAAAGCCGTACGATCCAAAGAGTAAGTGCGAACATTCCCTTATAGAAATTAGAAGGCAACCACGACTCCATACCATCTTCTATCTAGATATTCGTACTTTCCAAACTTCACCGAGTTGGTCAAAATTGGAAAGGACACTCAAATCAAGCATCCAAACTACGCGTATACTCAAGAATCTGTGCAAGCATGAAAAGTTCAAATATTAAGTCGTCGAAATGTCATATGGATTTTATGCCATGCCCGCTATCTAAAGTTACACTCATGATTTCTTCTGCTCTGCTCTCGTCTATGCATATCATGTTCCACCCTTTCATCCCTCCCATCATCCAGACATTAAGCACAAGCCGTACCACGGTACCAAGCTTATACAATCGTTTCCAGCTCCCTAGCATAACCAAGCGTATTCTCAATCGCTGTCATACTAACTTCTTTCTCCTCGGCCACCTCTCCAGCTTCAACATTCACGCTACCCTTCAACTTTTGATTGGGAAAGTATATACGCCCATCTTCAATCAACCATCCTCTATGTTGCGCAAATTGTACTACTGCTCCTTCTGATGGTAAAAAGAGGAGGTTCTTTGTGGATGCGATGGGTATAGATGGGTATGCTGCTTCGGATGATGAGGCGATTTCAGAGCGGATTTGATTGATCAAAATCTATTCGTAAATCATTAGTTAGTAACCATGTACAATACGCAGTAACAGCTCATTCAACCCCGCAGTTGATGGACAAATGAAAGGACACAGCGCAGCAATAAAGTCAACTCACCTCACTAAAGACCCCATACTCCTCACTCGGCACCTTGCCACCCTCCATCGCCTTCCAAACCAAATCATAACTCCCCTCCATCAACCACCTCTCCAACTTAATCGGATACCCCAAATATTTATCCTCCTCAGCCCTCTTTCCACCAATCTCCCCCCTCAGCTCCAAACCCTCCAATTCTGTGTGAAAGCCCGCATAATCTCCCTGCGTCAACAATAACAAAAGATATAAGCCCGTAATTTTGTTCTTCTCCCCCGAACTCTTGACAATGAATTTGTCGGCTGGAAGCTCGTAGTATGGGGTTAATTGATGAACATAACGTGTGAAAGCCGCTGGATCCTTTGCACGAATAGAAAGCAGTGCACCCGTTTCGAAGACTTCGCGAGCAAGGGATAATATGGAGGATGAGGTTGATGGTTGAGGAGTCAATGCCTTTAATTTTAGGAGTGTGAGTTTGGCCTTAGAGAGCAGAGATGAGCTTTCTTGGTAGGATGTTGATGGGGATTTGAGTTTCTGGAGAATTGCTTGTAAATCGTGTTCTGACATCTTGAATGCTTTGATTGTTGGAATCCTGGTGGAAGATTCAAAGAAGGTGTATTGTTGAAGTGGTAGAAGGAAGAAGTTGGTATAATGGAAATTGAAGCTTTTGGAATATGGGCGAGGTAGGAGCGATGGAGCCGCGTTGATGGGAGCAACCTTGAGACGCTTAGTCATATTAATACAGTACGGTACTGTACTACCGTACCTACCTTCCTTCTAACCTGAGGCTGGTTAAAGCTTACCACCAATATCTGAAACCTAACCCACCTGAAACCTATCACCTTGATTGTACAGCTTCAGCTCATACAATTATTGGAGGATTATACCTTTTTTATTTTCTGTTGCATATCTCAATCTTTAAGTTTTGTTTTGTTTACTCATGAAACACAAACCAATCAAAATCACTCACTCAAGCGACATATAATAAAAATACTCATAATAATCTACAAACTCATATTGCTATTCTTTCTTCCTATCGTTCATAGCCATTCTAGTTATGCATGCAGTATTTGTAATGATCACTTGCCTTTTACTATGATCATATCACCCCATTAAAGAACTCCCCGCTGCCCAAATGAAGAAAAAAGCAAACCAGATTTCCCATATTTCCCATATTTCCCAAATTCCCCGTCGTTACCCTATTATGCAGAATTGCAGAGAAGTCAAGTAAAAGTAGTGAACTTTGTGATTGACTCCATGTGCATTAGAAGGATCCCAAAGGTCAAACTTTCTATGATACAATCGTAATATGTTCGAAAAGATGTGTGCAATGTAAGTTGGATGTTGATCGTTGGTGTCTTAAAGAGAAATGTATTAGGTGAAACTCGAATAACCAAGGATACAAGAGAAGAGAAGATCGTAATTCGATGTATGTGTCAAGAAGTTCGAGAGATCCAATAGTCGAGCGGGACTGCTGATTGAACCAAAAGAGTCGGTCTAAATCATCGCCCACCAAATATTTCATCAAGACCACTGCCGTTAGTCTTGTTTGCTGAAGTATTTCGACCACCACCAACAGCACTTAAGCTTGAGCTTTTTTACTTCCAACAATGTTCCAAGGACCACTGGATCGAATTCTCTCGTCATCATCCATACCCTCCATGTTGAAAACGAAGTCACCTTGTTCTTCATCAATAGGTGTTGTAAATCTGCCACTATTACCAACACTGCTTGAGCTAGGTTGTTTATCAGCTGCGAAAGCCGATCGACCAGAACCAATTGGAGTAGTTATGGTGCGGGCTGCAGATGATGAGAGAAGGCTAGGTTCGCTACCATTGGATTCAGCTCTGGAGAGACGAGTTCTCTGAAGCTGTTGTGAAATGATAGACATGGATGTTTGACGGGGTGGAGATGCAAGATATGGAGATGCATCACCGGATGTAATAGGTCGAGCATTCGGTCTTGAGCTAGGACTAGCTCCTTCATGAAGAAGTGAGTTGCGGAGTGGGGAACCAACATGTCCGTATGCTGATGCTCGAGAAATCTTTTCGTCGTCTTCCTTGTGTTTCTGTTGGAAGTAAGGACCCCATCTAGAAGGGCTTGCGTTTAATGGAGAACCGAATTTAAGCGGAGTATCATTGCTGGGAGTGCCTGATCCACTGTAAGCAGATCTTGCTTCATCGTAAAATCCTCGGGATGGCTTAGATTCATCGTAAGCTGCCCGAGACCCTCTTCTAGCTTTCTCTGCTGGTGTCATAAGATCATTGAGAGATTCTGGTAATAGATCTTCTTCAAATGTAAAAGCCTCTCCCCAGTCTTGCTCCTTGGGAAGACTCGCTGACGTATTCTTTGGTTTGGCCATGCGCTGAGAGTGCATGGTGCGCTTTCCAAAATACTCCTCGGATGGTGTAGATGACGCAATCCCGTAAAATCGATCCTTGGTATCGTCTCCGAATGCAGAGCTATGCAAGTTTCTCAAGGCATCCGATGGCTTTGTTGCACCAACCGATGATAAGGGCGAATCAATACCGAACTTTGTAGGAACTGAAGCTGCTACTGGTCCATGTCTTGCAATCCACGAGACACCATTACTATCAAATGAAGCTGGTAGAGGAGCATCCAACACACTTAATCCCTTCACTGCAGTTGGCGAAAGCCCGAGGCCAAATCGATCCATCGTATCATCTCTAGGCGAGCCATAATTTGATCCTGGATGTGATGCATAACTCGTATCGATTGTCGGAATGTTGATATCAATACTCTGTTGTCTGCCAACCATAGGAATAAATACATCCTCTTGTGTTATAAAAGGTGAGTAGGGTTGATTGTATGGTGTAGAGGGGACAAGTTGAGCTCGGACGAAGGAATTGGTTAAAGCCGAACTCTGTCCATGATAAGGATCTGGATTGATTCTCCCTCCAAGGTTCAGATGTCCCGGTGTCATTGGTGGCATGTTCTTGCTATAATTGATTCGTCTGCCATCGGGAAGAACGTGTATGTTTGCGCATTTCGGTCCGAACTTGCAGTTACCCTTCGCAGACTGTTAGAATCACATCTTGACTTGGCGAGTAGGATCATAAACCTTTGAAAAGTATTTGCAGACATTTTCAGTTGTACCAGCTAAATCATGACTGAAAGGACAAGCTTGACCAGCTATAGATTATTTAGTTCAAAGCTCAAATCATATGTATCACTTCTCCAAGTTTATATGACGTACCTTGACAAGTACCCTAGATGATAAACCATTAGCACTCATTTCTTTCCCGAAAAAAGTAGTCTCGATCTTCACTCACCTGTCTAAAGAATTTGCACGGAACATGACCGGTATCTAAGAAATCCCGCATCAGTAACTTTATCTCTTGATATCCGGAAGCTTTCAATGCTCACTTTGTCTAGTAGGAGGACTTCTCGCAACACCATCTCCTATAGCAGAACCACCATTGGTAGGACCTGATTGACCATTTGGGATATTCAAGCTGCCGGTACTCATATGACGAGGATATTGATTGTTGGAGCTGCTACTATTTCGCATGTGCGGCGGCTGCGGCGGTTGTGGCGCTCCGTTACCCAACATTGTATCCATTCCAGAAATCTCAGAAATCTTCTAAAAAGAAATTCAATTAAGAAGAATCGAAGGTAAATATGGTTGAAATTTATGTGTTGTTGTTGGAAGGTTGCTGCGGTCAGCGGGGTACAAATCGAGTCGAGTTCGAGTTCGAGTTCGAGGTGAGTGGTGGGTGGTGGTGGTGGTGGTGGTGGGGGGAAGGGGTTCCTTGTATTGTTCGATTGTTCGAGGATAAGTGTGGGTGGGAAGAAGAACGAAGGAAGATATGGATTTATTCGGATTTCTCTATCTTAGCCTTATGGAGAGAAGAAAAAAAGAAGCGAGAGGATAAGGAAAAGCTTAATGAATTAAAAGAGGTAAAAAGAGGTTGAAGAGGTAAAGTGCTAAGTACCGGTAACTCGAGTAATGAGCTACTGAGTAGGTAGTATAGCTCAGAGGTAGTATGTAAAAATGACTGTGCAACATGAAATTGCGGAATTAATCAATTTCCAAAGGTTTGAGGCTGACTCGCTTTCGATCTGTGGTGGAATAATGAACAGCCTTGTTGTAAAGGTAAGGATCCTCGAATTGATGATTAATACTGTAAGGTTTTGTTGTTCTCGATTGACAAAGAGGGATCCTTGATTGTGTGATTGTACTTCTTGTGTTCGTGCGTTTGTGCGTTTGTTTGATAATAAAAAGTTGTGGTTGTACTACTGTACTTTGTAGATGAAGCTTCTTAAAAGAAAGAGATCTCAACTACTGGTAGGTGAAAGAAGTATAAAGGGGATAGGAGGGATAGGATAACGTGATAGGTTCAGATGGGTCTGATTCTGATGCTTTTCACTTCTTGATCCGCTGACAATAATGACTTGAATGATTCATTGGATTTTGTATATCAATCTCTAAAGGAAGTGAATGAATATTAACTATAAAAAGCGCTTTCACCAATCTAAATAGTACATCTTGGATCATATATCATATACTAATCTGCCTCTTGGAATCAACAAATCGACGATGACTATCTACCTAGGTCAGAATCTCATTGCCGCTGATAGCGCAAGTTGGTGTTGTGTTTCAGATTCCATACGGATACGAAACTAAAACTAAACACCCATTCAGATTCCCTTTCATTCACCATCTAATTCCAATTCCAATATTTCCCATCAAATGATAAGGATTGATAGTTCACTTCTACTCAGTAGCTTCTAGATCTTGTTTCGTTTCTGCAGTGCAGTCTGCATACCTATCTAAATGTTTTCTTCATGCATACATACAGTACATATGCATACAAAAACAAGAAAAGCATAAGAACAATGCAGCTACCCGTTGAATTCCAACAAGTACTGTAGCCGAACACCCTACAGCATCATTCAGTCATTCAGTCAGTTATTCCGGAAAGCACCGAGAATGATGGGAAGGTATCAGATGATACCGTCTCATATACCTACTCCATATGTATTTTCCAATGGAAAATGCGCGAGTCCATATGGTACATTCCTACCTAGGTACATGCATACAGTACATATCTACATAAATCCTTCCAGATAACCTACCAAGTGAGCCCTAGTTAGATATATCAATATCTCAAGACCCCCCGCTTCCCCCCAGTACCCAGCCTCAAATTACCCCCACGTTGCCAAGAATCATCCATAAGGTTATCATTCATCAGCCACAGCCACATCATATTACCCATCACCTTCCCCTCCCCTGCGCCTCTCACTCTCACCTCATCCATCCCATCTTTCATCTTCCATCTTCTACATGTACTCCCAAATCTCATTTAAAATTCCTCTTCTTCAAGTACTCGTACTGGCACAGTGCACAACCCCTCACCTGCTCAATTCAACTCAACGTCACCAACCCACTCCTTTCCAAACTCACGGGATTCCTCATTTGAATCTCAGCTACATAGGTAATATCCCAAATCCAGCTATAAGCATTTCAATTCAACACTAGCAACTAGCCGCACAGCCATACTCGAGTAGTAGTCATAGTCACCGTATCACATGTCCCACCTCACACGCCTCACCCACCCCTCCCACTCACCCCTCCCCTCCCCTCCATATATGTACCTAGTATGTATGTCTCATTCCCCACCCCAAACGAACCAAAGGAAAGATCACATGGTAATACCTTTCCCCAAAGAATTCTCCGAATCTACTCGTATACATACCTGTACATCGTCGGATGACGGTACCGGTGTCGGTACTGTGTACCCTTTTCTGAGACTTTGACTTGTTCCCCGCGATGTGATGCGATGTGCTGCGATGTGATGCGATGTGATGCGATGCGATGCGATACGATACGATATTATGTTTAGTACTATACTGTACTGTACTGTATCTGGTGCCGATATGGGTAATGTGATCCTAATGTGGGTTGAGAGGAGAACGGTAGGTGATACAAGATACAAAGAGAATGGTTTGGGTGTAACTTTATATGTTCTTCGTTATTATTATCTAGATTTCTATTATGAGCGATTACGTATTAGCTATATACCTTCCAAACTTCCGATCTTGAAAATAATTTCTGACATTTCCTACCACATTTGATCTCCTCGCTCCCATGGCCAGCAAGCAACTTGATGAATGCAAATATTGATCTCCCCTATAAATCTTCATCTCCTTCAATCCCCGCCTTTTCCCAAATATCCTCCCTAGACATCCCCTCCAACAATGCACCTTCAACGGCCTGAAATCCCCTCTTCCTAACCCCCTTCATCTTCGACCAATATGCAAACTCTTTTCCCACCCTATCGACTTCCTGCTTCTTCACTACCTTGGCCCCTCCTTTTATCAATGCCTCCAACCTTCCATTCTTCTCCCTCTTTCCTTCCTCCAACCTCTCAATCCTCTCCCTCAGTTCCGTTACACCAATCTCATTCTTCAATCCCCCAAGCTTTATACCCACTTTCTTTACTTCCATCTTTAGTTCTGGCATTTTGGCTCGAAGATCTTCGATTTCGGTATCCATATTCGCAAGTTCTTCGGGCGAGAGTGAGGAATTGGGATCCTGGAGAGGCCAGTATACCCATTGAGAGCCTTTTCCATCACCATTCGTACCCTTTCCATTGATGAGACCGGCGTTGGCGAGTTCTTTCAGGAGTTTATCGGTTAATGTTTTGGTAACCTGGGGTATTATGTATGTGTCAGTAAGTCGTTGGAAAACGTCTTGTTATTTTGGACGAGAAAGAGCAATGAGATGAGATCATGTCTTGTTGATTCAGAAGAGGAGAAACAACGAGGCAATGGGATAAGATAGAAAAGGGGTCAATTGATAACTACCTTTCCATGTAAATTGCCACTAATATCTCCCGCACTAAACGGTCTATTCTCCCTCGACAAATACGACAATAAGACATCTTGTGCCTCGTCGCCCGTTACTGTCTTGACTTTCCCTTTTGCATCTTTGACCTCCTTCTTGTCTTCCTTATCTTTTGGAGGAGCTTTTTCTTTGGCAGGAGCTTTGGCCTTAGGTGGAGCTTTAACTTTGTCAATTTTCTCGGCCCTTTCAACTTTTGGTTTCTTCGCCTTTGGCTTGACGGGTGTCGCGGATGCGGTAGAGGGGATTGATGCTACGGATGCGACATCAAAGTTATCATCTGGAGCAGGTGATTCAGTTGAGCGATCAACGAGAGACTTCTTGCGTTTGGGAGGCATGGTGATAATTTGTTGGGTGAAATCCTGTACATAAACTGAAAGTCTCAGCGGGAAAGAGGGTTGGTGCCTTGTAGTTGTAGGGCTGAGTTGTGGGGGCGATGGATAGTGTTTGTAATATTTGTGGTCGTCGATTGTGCAGTTTCCTAAGTCGAAGACTGAATTTGATCTGCCGTTCAATATGGTAATATTTATCTGTGTAGGTAGTGATGGAACGAACGTTAAGTTATTGTGATTGTGGTTAGGTAGGTAAGTATGATGAGAAAGTCGAGTTGAAAAATAAATCGCGCTAACCCTCATCAACCACTTCACCTTAACCATCAAGGAAGGAACAACACCTCACTTAAAAGGTAGATAGGAACTGTTATGCACCCAAGATTGTACTTATCGATCATATTAAAGGTATTTGGTGATAAGAATAAATCTACTCGAGTAGAACAATTACAAAATATTTCAGGGTATCATTAATTTCTACTCAGAAATTCTTCTACTCGTACTTCGAACCCTATATCTAAGTAGAATAGAACTTCTTTCATCACTTATTGTAGAAGTTAAGTAAGTCTATAATAACACCCGCAAGTCTAAACTACCTCCAATAAGAAATGCATGTATATAAGCAAAATGCCGTAAATGCTCCAATCAAAAACATTCACAATGCTCAATGCTCAATTCGCCATGCTATGTTAAACCCCCGAGTTAAATGACCATTGAAAATTGTGAATCGCATTACATAACGACCTGTGATATATCAGTGACTGAGTTATATTGAAGGCGGGATGAGTTAGAATACTTACACAATCTCCTTCACTCTTGGTTTGTGGGATACCCATCTCCTCGAATGTCGCAGGTCCCTTTTTAGAAGACGCCGATTGTTTTGGCGCTACTGCCACCGGAGCCGGAGCAGGCGTAGATCCTGACGAAATGGAAGATTTTCTCGAATTACCTTGCGAAGACATTGTATTGCCCAATGGCCTATTAGAACTTTTGCTTGCCGTGGAGGGAGCAGCAGAAACTGGCGTCATGGAACTACCTCGTGGTGGCATAACATTTTGACCTGGTCCAGCATTTGGGTTTGCAAATGGTCTGGAACCGTATGCAGATTGTGAAGATTGTGCAGTTCCAGGTCTCGATCCAGAGGTTGTAGGTCTTTGCTGCGAATTCTGAAAGCCGGATTCGAAGTTCAATGGGGGAATATTTGGGGCGCGGTTGGGCGATGGGTTCCGACCCTGTGAAGGCGTTGTGCCCATGTGAGATGATGATATTATAGGCTCTGTATTTTGATGGGTAATTCCCGGATGTGGTGGTGGTTGCTGAGGGCGAATACCAAAAGCAGAAGATGGTCGATCTGCTGCTGGGTTTGAATTTGAGGTTGATGGTCGCAGTCCATCTTGTGGAGGGTATCGCGGAGATCTGGGAGGATAACCAGGAGCACCACGATTTCCAGGGCTGATATCATCTTCTGGATATGGTGCAATTGATATTGGTCGAATGCCCGCAGGAGAACCCTTTTTGAATTTAGGTTTCTGGGTGTGTATGGGCGGTGTTGGTGAGAAATCTTCTGCCATGGTTGGCATTGGCGGTGCATTAGCTTGATTGAATCTATCAGGTCTGGGCCCCCTTCGAGAGCCGTGTGTTGACTTGATACGTTGAATCGCTGCGCCATGGTCACCCTTCGTAAGTGTATGATTCGCTCTGATGCTATCGATTCTCCCCAAAGCATCGTGATTACCATGGCTGGCAGCCTTATCATACCATTGTGAAGCCATGTCAAGATTCTTCTTGACATACATTCCAATTTCATAAAAGTAACCCATCGCAAACTCAGCTGTAGCCATCTCTGTCTCAGCAGCACGTTGCGCATATGTGTAGGCCAGCTCCTCATTCTTTTCGAAAATACCCTCATATCCACAAAGAAACCATTTACTGATGGCCATATCGGCTTCAGGCTCTCCTTGTCGGGCAGCAAGGGCATTGTAGTGTAAAGAAAGAGCTGGGTCGAACTCGCAACCAAATAGACAAAGCTCGTAGGCTTGAGCCATCTTAAGTTGTGCCTTGGCAAATCCAAGATAAGCAGCTTTTTCGACAAACATCTTGGCTTCATTCAAGTCGTATGGTAGATATTCATCGGGCATAGTAATATTTGGTAACTCTCTAGCGAGCAGCATTCCGTAAATGTAGGCACCTTGAGGAGCATTCTCATCGGCTGTGTCGGCTGCAAATTGAATCAAATCTATACCTCTTTCGAAATCTTGTTGCATGCCACATTGACCGAGTAAGGTAGCCATTCCAAGTCTATAGTTCGCCGCAGAATCCTTCAAATATACACCTCTCTGGTAATGTTCGACGGCCTTTGAAGAGTTCATCGTATTTTCGAACTGCATTCCTATTCGGTATTCTGCTCGAGCGTATCCTTTTTGTGCAGCTCGCTGGTAACCTTGGAAAGATTCCTTTTTATCCATGCGATATCCAAATTTGCCAAATTCCAACCACATTGCCTTCATAAACTCTGCCTTTGGGTGTTGCTGTTCGGCGAGAAAGTTGACGATGCTTATAGCATCGACTCGTAATTGATGCTCGATCTTTGGTGTAGGCGCCCGCGGGCCTTCGTTTCTTCGCTCGTAAGTAGAGCTCGCTACTTCCACCCAAGATAGCGCATCTTGAGCCCATGCCAACTGCATCTCTGGGTCGGTAGATTTCAACACCATTGGTCTAGCTCTCTCCAGGACTTCCTCTTTATCCTCATCCGATAAAGGCACATTCTGACCTGCGTTTCGGGGCTTCGGGAATGGCGAAAAGCCGGGGGAATCTGGTTGGACTCGTGGCGTACCGTAAGGCCCCTTCAAATTTTGATATATAGCTGCATTTGTGTGTTCATAGTTCGCTGTGTAACCCGGTCCGCTGTTTCGATTGCTACGGCTTGATCTCGATGATTCGCTGGTACCTTGCTGGAAATAGTCATTAGACGGTGATTGAATAGACGAAAGATTTGAATGTGGGCTTACTCGATGTCCATCTGAATTAAGTTCAAGGTTCGCAAGATTATCCTGCATGTTGTGTGGGACTTCCGGCATGATTCTATACTGCTCGTTAGTGGCGTCCAACCCAAGTTGAGGTTCATGAGATGGAAAATGCCACACCATCAATCATTTTCCTTTTTTTAAATCGAACAATGAAAAAGTTTAATCGTACCTTTGTGGCATCGGGGACACTACATTAGTAGGAAAATAGAAGTCGTCCCCTCCTCCTGGATAGAACGTCGCCCCAAGGTTGGGGTTCTGTTGATAATCCCCGCCATAACCGTTCATATTGGAGTTTTGATTTTGAGTGGTAGTACTTTTCAAACTGGCACCGCGAGGAGGAGGCTGATATGGTTCTAGGATCAAGATGGTTTTGTTAGCTAGATTCAACGAAATATATAAGACAGCTAAGTTGCGCAAGAGATGAGATGGATGATGGTAAATAAGAAAAGATGTGAATGTGAGCGAGGTAGTAGTCCGGCTGTACTGTAACACTACTACGTACATACGAGTAGGATGACTACTCATGCACAACAACGAACGAAAATCAAGCTTTGCGATAATGCCATGCGCCCCATCCTCTCTTCCCCCCCCTCCCCTTCTCCCCTCTCTTCCCGGATTATTAAACTTTTCGTCTTTAATCCCTTCATCATCATTCCAAATATTGTTCCTCTGATATATTCGATTTTAAATAAAAGCTTTTATAACATACCTTGTTGCCCATTCGGAGAGTTTTGTTTCCAACCTGCTCGAGCAGGTTGGTATTCCCCTTGGTTTTCGTCAATGCAATCATCGTACGCGCCGTTATAATGTGACATGGTCGGTCGTAAATTCCGCGGGCCCTAAACGTTTTGAGAGCTGTAGGCTTGTAAGTTGTGGCTGACTGCTTCTTCTCCCTGTTCTGGAAGCAAGTTTATATGTTTTGGTCGTCGTTCTTTTCCTTTCTGAGAGCGAAAACAAGTTGAGAAAGATTTGTCAAGTTGGTTAGAATCTTCAAGAATATTGTTCTACGGCAATGAGCATGGGAAAAGAAAGGAGTTTGTGAGAGTAGGTAGATGATATTGTATATTCCCCTGTTCTAGCTTTGAATTGATTGATTCACCTAAAAGACCCTCCCCCAAGACGAGACGAGACACATCAACCAAAAGATGTTTTCCTTGTAAATTGAAGTAAAAATGGCTGGGCGTTTTGGTGGGCAATAATAATAATAATCATAGTCACTGGTAATAGTAATATGTATGTGGATCTTCTCCAAGATTACCAAGAAATTCAATCTCAAGATATAATGAATACACGCGCGGCCCTTCAAAGATAGACTTGGTCGAACCCCTGAGATATATACCTGAGATATATATTTATATATTGGGAGATACAAATTAAACCTTTTTTCATGGCATTGAGCGACAGGAAGGTACACCTACCGATACTGAAGTTTTGAACAGCTGAACATTTATTTACAGTTTCTACAGCAATGCATTGCATTATGGGAATGTGCGCCATCCTGCAGTTACATCGTATCCGTCAGCCTTTTCCTACCCAGCTTCTGTTAATAGAACGAGAGAACAACTTCTCCCAATCATTCGAATGTTCTGGCAGAAAAGGTTTGTTGAAACAATATGCTAAGCTTTGATCGACACAGGCAACATATGTCCAATATTCCACTCTTTGGGGGTTTACCCTTGTTCATTCGGAAATTTGACCATTAGGCAAGTGAATATCTTTGAATCAACCTGGCATGAATGGAATATCAAGGCTGAGTGAAGTATCAGGCTTCTTTTCTGAGCAAGAAGAAGTCGTACAGAGGGAGTATAAAGCCTTATGCTTTGGGTGAATGCTTTGGGTGACGGTTCACAGCTCACCCCATCGATGCTGGGACATCTTAGGGCTGACCATCTGACTGACATCCCTTCATCGTCAGTTATGAGAATTCTGGACAGAAGAATCCACAACATCTCATTCAGGTTGAAGCTAGATGAATTAACCATAAATCTGGATCGAATTTATAGCAATGCAAGTCTGATCCAAGTGGAGCTGTCAAACATTCGAGAACATTACAGGGGTTGATATATATATGAACTAGTGAATTCGGCTTGCGCGGGAGTGTATCGTGGTACCGGTTTTGCGAATGCAATTCCTTATTGGGGAAAGTGGAAGAAAAGGGGGTGAGATTCGATATAAACTCGACTGATATCTGGAACGAAGACAACAAAAAAGATTGATTTACATTCGTACTACTTCACGGGAAATATGCACTATTTTTAGATTTTATGCATGGCTTCGGGATACATTTAGAATGCGGGGAACAGCTATTTGACACACACTCAGCTCTATGCCGATATTCTGTCACGAACAGAACGAAGAAAAGTTAGTATTAGCTAGTAGCTAGTCGCACTCCTGAATATTCTTACCTCAAGTGATCGGTTTGAAGTATGCCGAAGATATAAATAGGCACGTCGAGCTTGACGATTGAAATTATCTGTCGACCCAGGTCCTCTTTCACGCGAAGAAACTATATTCTTGGGGGTATCTATGGAAGTGTCTATAAGTAAGCTACTTGCAGTGATAGCCACTGATGAATTTAATGATTTTGTTTACCAAATCTTCACTGCAGTATTAATCATCAGCATCGAAGAGAGCATGAGCCATGACACCTCATGCCATAAGAGTATCAGCCTACCTCACCAATCCTGGCGATCAACAGACACATCCCCATATATCAAGAGCTGAGCCCAGTTTCATGTGCGTAGGGAGAAGACATCGTCTCTTACCAGTGGTAAGAAGTATGTCCATTGTCTAAGAAATACCACTTTAGTCTTCGCCAGCGTCAAAAGTTAGTTGCCGCAAATGTACGAGTAGTTCAACCAGAACCATCCTTCTTCGGATCAAACAATACACTACTCTATACTCGAGTATATATCTATGCATTGCTTATGGCTTTGATTACATCCCAAAGCCACCTCAGGATGCAAATCATCCGCGTTACTTTCCACGTCCCTTCACCCTTCACTCCCACCCCATCTCAACCCCCTCCATCAAAATCGCAAAATCTGGACCCAGGTCTCAACAGGCTAGGGAAATCTCTATAGATTTTTATCACTGCTTCGTGAAGGGCATTATTCATATGTGAGATTTGCCTACTGCTGTCTCCTCCGTCGTAGTCGGCCATGTTTTATCTACCTCAGCTCTTGAACACAGCTTGACTCAAACAAAACTTGTTTGCGTGAGCTAAGTTGACTGCTTGCTGTATTTTGTGCCGGGAGTCAAGATACATATGGTATTATGGATATGGAGGGCATTGTACCTAAGATGGGGATCAGAGTATGTTTCGTTGGTTGCATAGTATTCAAGTATTTATTATTCAGTCACATTGCTATTATAGAGAATTGGTCTGGGGCCCTTAATAGTGTGTATCTAAAGTTTCTAAATCTAACCATTGATCTATTTATTTCAAAGGTCCCCTAACAGAAGTCAACCTCCACTACAAGTATATATCATCACTCTATATTCTATTGCCCAATCCATCCCATCTACTCGTCATTCCATTAACCCACATCACAACTTAATTTTTTCCGATTCGCTGACCAAACTCCGCAAGTCCTCATACTCACCTGGACTCTCCTTTTCTACAAACATATCATCATTCTATCTCCAACCAATCATCCTCTCCCATCCCTTCTCCTATTCTTCGTATCAAAACTTAAACATCAACCTCCATTCAAGCATGTCCCAGATTTCCAATATATATCACACCCACCATCCATAGATGGACAGCCCAACATATGTTATATTTTCTGCATACGAGCAATGTTAAATAACCCAAATATCTCCATGCCTGCCACAAACCGAAAAAGAACCTTAGCGTTAGAAAATGGAACCAGTAGACTTGACAACATTAAATGATATATCTCAGGCTGTTCTTGAACCGATTCAATCCAACGTCCTCCCCATCTCTAAGTCCAGTGGGTAATCCCTCCCACGTCTCAACACCTTCCGCCAACCTCGTTTTGATTCATTTGCGTCGTCTATCCCATCCCTAATTTCACTCGCCAAGATACCAGAACCTTGATTTCCCACCACAAAAGCCCTCAGCATCCTCAGCACCACCAAAATATCCCCATACAACACCCAAGCCAACAGCACCACCGTCATCGGCAAAAAATCGCCCAATAGACCGGAAAAAGTTTCTCGCCCGCTGCAAAATCGCCTCCCATGGAAAATATAGACGCCACGACTGTGGATGGAACGACTACTGTTGCGATTTTGGTTAGTTGGCTTGCGCTTCGTGCTTGTCTGTTCGCGGCGGTTGTTTGTCGATTTGTTGCTAAGGTTAAAATATTGCTTGCGTAGGAGTCGCTTAGGGCTGCTCGTTGGAAATATTCGTCTATGTGCTGGCTGATGTTTAATCGTATCTCTGTTAGGTTTTCCTCTAGTCGCTTTAATGTGTCACCTTGTCTTTCGTTCTGTGTTGTGTTCCTTGCCTGGGTCGTGTTTTCGCTCTCGCCTGGGTAATGATTGCACTCGTTATCGCGGAATGCCCAACGGGTTTTCTTGACTATCCATGTCGCAACCTTGATATTGTGCCTTTGATCAATCAACTTCTGGTATCTTTCAATGATCCTACGATCCTGCTGCTGCATAGCTTCAAGCGAGTCATCTTCTCGGTCTATATTTTCCCAACTCATTTTATCCGCCATCCCGCTGTGAAGAGCGCTCCATGCTTCTAGCACCGCGCATATGAAATTGCGTGCACATATGGTGGCTGAGAAGGGATCATTGGTATATGTGATGTCGCGGCTCTGATGTGCTTTTACGAGGAAATCGTAAATGGATTTTTCGTTCAGACTAGTCAGATTAGTGCTGAGTGGATCTACCATAACATGCGTAATTGTCCTTAGAATCTCGGGTTCATTTACCACTATGTTCTCGAGATAGGTGACATTTTCGGCAAGGTTACTCGAACTTTGTTTTTCGGGTAAAAGGTAGGCGCGCTGAGGGTCAACGAGTAGAATCGCTAATGAGGTTGTGGTTAACGAAGAGTATCTGGGAGTAAAATATGTCTAAAGCACCCTGTCACTTACCAGTCCACGAACCTTCACCATGGTCTTGTCCCCAGTATGATACATGACTATGGTAACTCTTGATACCGTTTGCCACCAAGTTTTCCATATTCCATCTACGGACAATACATCTACGGACAATATTTCCCGTCAAAATCTGAACTGGACCACCCTCTTGTATAGTATCAGGTATAACACGCCTTTGTGGCACCGGCATTTTCCAGTATCTTGAGTTATTTTTCTTAGCATATGTATTATCCACCACGCTAAGATTATCATAATCATTACAGTGAGCCACAAAGAAAACGGCAGGAACGTTAAGCATAACTCCCAGCACCTCCGCAAATCTCGGATCTATATCTTCCAGAACAAACAATCGTCTGCGGATCTGCGGACTACTGCATCCGTCACCTTGAGACTCCTTGAGGTAGACATAGAGGTCACGAGCAGACTTGAACCCTTGAGCCTGATTGTCTCCGCCATCAAGATCTCCCAACTCAAAAAACTGAAACCTGGGGATACAGCGAGGAACTTCTCGATTAATCCAGGGATGTCTAAAACCTGGTAAGAGCAACCTGATACTAACGGTCCTAGCTTGGCACTCGTAGCCTTTTGTCTGTTTAAGCATGTAGGGATCTCCAGCCCAGCATGACTTGTGATCTAGCGGCATTTTAGTATCTCTTGTTCAAGGAGAAGGGTGACGATACTGTGATATACCCTCAGGATAATAAAACTCAGGGTCCATTCTGAATGTAGGGGGCATGCGCAGAAACAATTCAACGCAACTTTTCTACTGTGGCAATTCGCGACAACAATCATATAATCGTACTGGAGTTGGGCAGCAGAATTCTGATGATTCAAGAGACCATAAATTGATGGATCAAAAGCAAATCAGGCGGAAGACCTCCCAATTTTCAGCCGCAGCGCATTCAGTGCAGCTGTCTCTAAATCTTGAGCGCCACTGGTAAGGATGTAAGCAACAAGTCGTATTTACACTGGTAACACAACGGTGGATATCAAATCTCATATACCGCGTCGCTCCGCGTACAACATAACAATGCATAGAGGAAGAGCCATGTAACTCAATGGCTGGTTGGGGTAGTTTGACTATAGAGCACGATATATAAAGTCCTTGAAATGGTTTAGCACATTGAACTAAACCCTTTCAAGGACTCTATATTCATGTGACTTCATGACCTGTAAAATTCACCCCTGTATCAGGTAGGGGCCCCATTATCTTCGTTACCGGTAAGTACAGCAGGGGTTTCGCCAATTTTACTTAGCACATGATATGTATGGTGTAGTTGAATCTAGAAGAGAAAGGTCACATCTTGATAATCATATTGATTGTTGTTTGTTTCTCTCCTACTCATTTATCGATTTCCTCTCTTGATATCCTCTTCTCGTCCCTCATTTAGCAACAGCCCCCTTTCAACATCGACGTCACAACATACCATGAATATACCCCGAACGCCAGCCAAGATTTAGGTACCTTTAATCCGCCTATCACATCCTTGAGCATCCATGTATGCATTATCAATGCTATGCCTATGCCTATACCAATACCAAACCCATCTAGCACCCTATCCGTTTGATCTTACAAAACAAATGCGGATGCAATGCAGCTCCCCATCGTCAATTCGCATTCGCGAAGAGCCTCAAAAATCCAAAAATAAAAACCCTTTAGAACTCCTAATCCATCCCATTAATGCCAACCCATTTTCACATGATCAAAGAAGTATGATCCCGATTGCGCTTCTATCCTATAATCTCTATCTTAAGCTGTAGGGCGTTTGAAAGGATGCGCTTCGGTATTCAAAACCCAATCATCCAAGCTGATAGTCTCTGGTGTTGAAAAGAGAAGATAGAAATATTTGAGCGTTTCCGCCAGCCAGAAACTTTCCATCTCATCCACCTGATATGACTGTTCAGAAGTAACATCGTAAATAGCCGAATGACCGTATTTAGAAGACGTTGCTTTGATGACAGCTTCGAACATCTTCCAACCCTTGTCTTGCCAGGATTTGTCACCGGTGATGCGGTACATATACCAGACAGATTCAATAGCTTCGGGTCTAAGTTTTAAGGTTAACATTCTATCGTTGTAACGGCATGTGTGTGAGATATTTACCTGAGAATGTACTTCCTGGCATGGATGCTTGTAAATCCGAGTGGTAACGATTCTTGTTTGATACGAGCTTCAACATATTCCTTGTGGGAAAGTGGGCGTAACGGATCCGGTAATGTTTCGGCAGGAAGTGATTTTTGTGAACTAGTACTCTTTTCCAATTGACGACCTCCGGTCAAACTTTCCAATTCCGCTTCTGTGTTTGCAGACTTTTGCTTCAACATACTCTCTTTTTCAGGGCCATCCAAAGTACCGGCTGCACTGATTTGGCGTTTTGTGAGCAAAGCGGGTTTCTCCTTTGGCTTGAAGGCAACTGCATCAGATCTGGTCTCTAACAAATCTTTCTTCGGAGATCCAGAATCTGAAGATGTTGCATCACCTGAACTAGACCCTGATCCACTGACTAGGTGAGTATCTCCAGTCTTTGCCTTTGAAGAGAGACCGGTAACTATCTCTTTTTGGCCGACGTACCCTTGAGGTTCCGCCACAGCCTCTGCTTTCGCCAAAGCATTCTGCTCACGTGCGGCGTCGGTGGGATTTAGGTCCATATCCTTTACTTCGGCATCAAGCTTCTCTTTGTTTTCAATATAATCCTTAAGATTGGAGTCTCTATAGGCGGCCGAAGGATCCAAGTACTCATAGTAGAGAGTTTGGTTCCAGGCGCAATTCTCGGCATCTTGGCATGCAATCACTTCTGACCCTTCAGGCATAATTCCTGATGGGGTTGCACCATAAGCCCAGACGCAGCCATCAGTGAGCTTCTTTGCAATCTCGAGATCCCCCTCGATGCCAAAAATCTTTGCGCTCATACCAACCATGCCTCCAATAAAGCATGTTAAATGCGTAATCTCTGGAATCAATAGATTCTCATCTTGTATGCCATTACTTGTAACTTTTCCAGAGATGAGAATGTCATCTTCTCCCGGAATCATAGGCCGAAAGAGCATATGCTCACGTATGGAAACGATGGTCTTCATGTACATTTTTCGGTAGACTTCTTCAAGACCACCCAGAAGCATATATTGCTATATATGTATTAGCCATGTAAGTCAAATTCATGAAGTTCACACATACCTTTGGGAAATACTCGTATGTAGAATCTTGTCCACCCCCCATTGAGAACTTCTGTCTACCATTTTGATTATACGACTCAAGACCTTGCTTCACGCAGTCCCACTCATTAACTGATCCTACTGTTGTAAGCTCCGGCGGAACTTTATGGCTAAGACCACTACCAGTTTTTGAAACTGTGAGGTGGTGAACTGCCGGTGCTACTGGTGGTGGTGATGAAGATACCTTGGTTGACCCAGCCAACTCGGTCGATTCTGTCAATTCTCTTTTCTTCGCTTTTCCTTCCTCCCATCCCTGGATACGAGCCTTTCCAGGCTCACCAGGTAGAACTTGCATTTCCAACATGTTGCCTCCCTTGGAGGGAATTTTCTTTGGCTTAAGCTCCTTTACCGACTCTGGCGAGGGAGGCTTATATCCTTCAGGGGATTCCTCCAAAAGTGCTGCTGTTTGCGGATTGCCGAGAGCAGTCTCCTTTGCCATTGCAGCCTCTTTCTTTGCCTTTTGTTGCAAAAGAGTTGCTGTACGATTACAACCTGCAGCATCGACATCTTCCGGGAAAACTCCAGGGACCTTGGTTGAATCACGATCTTGCCACTCCGAAAGGGCGTTGGTGACTCGAGCTACAGCATCATAGTAACGTTGCTCACCGGTAAGTTGTGCAAGACGGGTAAACTCCATAGACAATGATCCAAGCTCGGCCAGATTAGCCCTGGGACTTGCACGATGAGCTTGAGAAGCGAAGGTTGGTTTCCATTGATAGTGGAGTATCGGCATTCTGTTTGGTGTATCAAAAGCGCCCATCAAAATTTCCGCCAATTCAGTAGCTTTATCCAAGAGAACTTGGAACTTCCCTCCGCTAACATCAAACGCTGCCAAAAGACCGCCTAGATATCTGATGGTAGTCTCAAATACAGGTATATCCATTCGTGGGGTGGTTGTAAAATCGATGTTTTCGACGACTCTGACAGCCTCCTCAAATTCATCGAAAAGTCCCATAATCCATAAAGTATCTAAACCATCTACTAAGGTTGCTGCCCAGCCGCAAAACGGGTCTCGAAATTTAGAAGAGACCGGGGAAAGTTCATCATGTCCCCATGCATACTTCTTATATCCACTCCAGGACTTCAAGAACTCCTCCTTGACTTTATTTTGCCTCTTCTCTCGGCTTATTTTTGCGTCCGTTGTCTCGTCCTTGAAAACATATTGAATTTTGGGAATTGAGATTGGCACGCCAGTTGGCAGATTTATGATACTCTCGGTAGGTACTGGAAAATGTTCTGCTTGCTTAGACCAATGAATTGTGGTAGGGGCTGCTGAGAAAATAGGTAAGTCTTGTCTTCCATCTGGCGCAATGGGGTGAAGATCTTCGAAACCCGAATCATCGTAATCTCCCTGAATTGGTGGTTTTCTGTCGGGAAGAGTATATTTCGGCAAAGTCGTATCGACTGTTTGTATCGCAATAACGTTCGAGGTAGTTGATGTATCACTGGTTGTCGTGGATGTCTTCCCTGCTGCCTTTACTATCGATGTAGTTTCTTCCTTCGCAGGCTTCAATACTACTTCTGATTCTTCCTTCAGAGTCTCCGGTGCCGTTGGTTGTACCCCAATTGGTCCGTTTGTGTATGGTTTATCTTTCTCTGATGCATATTTCGAGTCGGGGATATCAACAGGGCTTCCCACAGTATAGCTTTCCCAATCCCGTATATGTGTAAATCGAATGAGAATGGCTGTTATAAAGACAGCAAAAATAAGAAGTGCTCGATATCTGCGGATCCGCAACATTGTACAAATTGCTAATTCGTGGTCTTTTGACCAGAAGCTCTAGCAATTGGAGAAAGGTAGTAAGGCGGTTGTAACGGGGGAAGTTGTGTCGCGTGTGTTCAGCGTGGAATAAATGTCGATAGTTTTTGAACCAATAGTAACCTCATCACGAATTAAAGTAGAGTTATTAATACCGGTAAAGATTCGCTGAAGAATGTTGGTGACAGAGTACTTTTTATGATAGGATTTCCAAATAGGAAATGTCTGTTCAAATACCGTGTGAATGTATTGGTACTTGTATCTGTACTCTTGTACTCTCGTTCCCTTCATTTCTTCGAATCGCTTCATAGCTCTTGGCGTTTGTGTATATGGTTCTTTTATGGTTCTGCGGATCATTATCAAAGACAACTGGAGCAATGGAACTGTGAAAGGCCATGTGAATTGCTTTTGATAGGCTTAAGTGGATGCTGAGATCTTAAACTGTCACAAATCGAGAAAAGGGATCTTGGTATTGTAACTTGTGGGGATTTAAGTGTATCAGCTGGGATTCTAGGGGTCGCTATGATTCTTATTATACGGAGTAAGCTCATGTACCGATATATTATCCGGGTGAAGGAGGAGGAGAAGTGGATGATTTCATGGTTCATGAAACTAATGATTCTAAAAGCAAGTAGATACTGTATAAGAATTCGAATCTCACGAGAATGATGGAAACAAAAATGCTAATCTAATATTCACCTACCACCTCCCCTCCTCCCTTTCCGTCTAATCTGGTCAATACGAGGGGCATCAAGTTCGGTCCCGATTTTATTAAAAACATGCTAAACGTTACCAAAGTTTAAGCATAAAATCAGTCTTCACTAGTACCCCTATTATATGTTTATTAAGTGGTCCCTGTAACCTACCGGTACCAACTCCTGGAATTTGGTTGACATAAATTAGATTTCCAAACAGCTAGCTGCCGGTAGTTACCTTAGCACGAAGAATTTGTATATGAATGTTAATGTTGTCTACCTAGGTATTTTATACAATATGAAGATGTTGGTGGCTAATACCATGACCCATCATAACCCCCTCACCCCAACACAATCTATATCTAATCAGATAATCAATATTGTTCCAGGGGTGATAATCATTCTTGGAAGGGTTGGGACGTGGTGGCCACCCCTTTGCCGCAACCACGCAGGAAAGCCACGAGTCTTGGCACGGTAGAGCTTATCCGAGAATGCGGAGAAGGGGAAGGGTAACTTCAAAACCGAACAGGCAAAATCATACAAGTTCACATCTATTTTTCTCATCAAGTCATTCATTACTTCTCTATCTGGGTATATGTCCGGCAGAATCTGAATATGGTAGACATGCTACATGGGATCTCTAAATACGGCACTGTTATACAGAGTTACATCCCAAAGAATGAGAAGCGCGCCTACAACCATGTACTTTTCATCTTGCCATAAAGTCGTTACGAATGATCATTATGCTTCTTTATTCATGACTTTATCCATCAATTTCACCTGGTCCCTTTGCTCTACTCATTTGACGTGCCTTGAGCAATTCATCGCAGAGTAAAAGATTGGAAGCAATACCAGAACTCGATGCAACGCAATTCCTCAGTACACGGAAAGAGTCATATACACCCTCCAAGACTGGATCCATAGGTTCACCAGTCTTGAGATCAAGACCAACGATGTTGCCTTCCGCTAGCTCATCTTGTAAGGTAGCAACTATGACGGATTAGCAGGATAGAAATGTAGTCTGGGTGGGTATATCAACTTACGAGAATCTTGAATATCATGACCGGCATTCGCTGCCAAAGTTTTGGGAATAACGAGAAGAGCATCGGCGAAAGCCTGCACACCCCACTTCGCCTTACCCTTGACAGTCTTGCGGAAAGCTTCACTGTTCAAATGTGCTGCGCAAGCAACCTGGAAAGCACCAGCTCCGGGTACAACGCTCTTATCTACAATCATGTTGTAGACACTTCGAAGACCATCACGGACTGCATCCGTGATTTGAGTAATGGTGTGTTGATTTGGTCCCTTGATGAGAAGGGTGACGGATTTTGGCTCCTTCACATCTTCGATGAAGGTGTACTTCTCCTCTCCCAATTGATGCTCATAAACATTTCCTGCCCAACCAAGGATCTCAGGGGTCAAATCATCCACACTGTTCTGTGCTGTACCACCACAAATTAATTGTAATCTCTCCATGTTCCTTCGCTTAGCTCTTCTCAAGGCAAAGATTCCATTCTTGACCAAGACGTCGAGCGATAATGGATCAATACCCTTCTGGTTGATAATGACGAAGCCTTTCTTGGGGTCGTTTCCGCAAACCTCCTTCTTCAATTCAACAATCTTTCGTAATTTCTCGTCAACAAATCGGCGCTCACTCTCAACAAGTTTATCTCTTTGTTCCGCGCTCGAATAGTAGAAACCGGAGTTGATTTCGGACTTCTCGTACTCCAAGCTAACGTTCAAGCTGAGAATAAATGCGTTCTCGACCTTCTTTGGCATATCTGGATGTCTGGCACCGTGATCTAAAGCGAGACCTCGAATCAACTGAGTCTCCGAGGCGGTTCTGTGTTGCATCTTCATGATTTCGACCATGTGGAGATCAGGTTTTGCTGGAGCTTGGTAAATAGATAAGACCGCATCGACGATATCAGGAGTGAGCTTTTCAGCCAAAGTATGGGTAAGTTTCGTAGAAAGGGAGGTTCGTGCAACGCAAAGTAAAAGTTCACGGTCAACTTCTTTCTCGATTTTGAAGGTATCCAAGAACTATAAGGTGTCAGTACTACCCCGCCGATGTTGAAAATCATACAAACCTTCAACGCTTCCGTCTTTGCAATTTCATAACCATCCGTGATGATTCTGGGATGTAAACCTTCCGAAATATATCTATCTGCCTGTTTCAAAAGCTCTCCTACAAGAAGAACAACTGAAGTTGTGCCATCACCACAAATATCATCTTGTGCGGTTGCTGCCCGTGCAATCATGACTGCCGTAGGGTTTTGTATTTGCATTTCACGTAATAGAACATTTCCGTCTTTTGTAAGTTTTATCTGCGGATCGATTATTAGAGGGAAGCATTATCGTTAATCAAGAAGGCTTTCATACCGCACCAGCACCATCAACCAACCTTTATTAGATGTTAGCATGTGTTCGGCTCCCTGAGGGGTGTAACTAACATTTTGATGGTTCCCATGGGACCCAAGTTTGATTTCAAAACATCTTGTAAACCCTCACCTGCACTGATATTGACTTTCAGAGCTTCCCCTCTTCTCTGGTCCAGATCAGTAGCTGCATCTCAAATTCAGATTGGAAAAAACGTACTCTAGACTCCGCCTTTGGGTTCAAAAGTTGTGCAGCAGACATTCTGACAGAATACAATAACTTCCTATGTAATTAAAATGAAGTTATAGAGGGGTATTGTGGCTAGACACTGTGTATTTTGTCCCTCAACGTCGCGAGCTTTTTTTTCTATGGCGACGTGAATTCCCACGCGAGGTTTACACTAGTCTTGATTTGTCTCTAAGGCGAGGCTACCACTTAAAACCTACAAGGCTTTATTTACGCTGACCACGAACTTTCTTCTCGTGATAATTCATCAAACTACCGGTACCGTATTTCTTCAAAATATCTTCAAAATGTATCTGTATCGAGGCTGGAACCTGGTATTGACAATCATTATCACTGTTTTCTCTGGAGAAAGTCTTGGATTTTGGTCCTGGCCATTTAGTTTTCAAGCTCTTGCGGAACAGCAACAGCCCATCCTTGAATCAATAACATATGAGTATGAGTATGCTGATAGCCATGCAAAACGTATTGCAATTATTGGTATGTATTAATACTTTTCTCTATACCATTGTTCTTAGTGGTTGCCGTGTGATACTTTTCTTCATATCCTCTGCTTAGTTGAGTCGAGCGTTTGCTATCATTTCTTTCTTTCGAACTGCACCGAAAATAGAGGTATTCTCCTACTCGTATTCCCCAGCCATATATTCTTCCATCTTGTATATCTGTGTCTCGGAATTCTCGGCTCTACGTTGCAAATCAGAAGTACCGACGACTTTTCTCTCAATGAACATCAAAATACAACTCACATTCCCATCTCCCTTTCACTAACATAATATCAGGTGCTGGAGCCGGCGGGTCTTCAACGGCATACCATTTACAGAAGTATGCTGCTGAATCAGACCTTGCAATAAATGTTACCGTCTTCGAACGTTCTTCGTATATCGGGGGTCGTTCGACAACAGTAAATGCATACGGTAATCCACTGGAGCCTGTAGAATTAGGAGCCAGTATCTTTGTCGAGGTAAACGCAATTTTGAAGAATGCAAGCCGAGAGTTCGGCTTAAGTCCAAAATTTTCCGATACCGAAGAAGCAGAGGTTCTCGGTATCTGGGATGGAGCAGAATTCGTGTACACACAGAAGGATAGCGATTGGAAGTATTGGGATATCGCGAAGCTCTTGTGGAAATATGGACTTGCCCCATTGAAAACTCAACGCTTGATGAAAACTGTGGTTGGAAAGTTTCTGCAACTTTATGAGGCGCCATATTTCCCATTCAGATCCCTCTCAGAGAGAGTAGAGGAATTAGACCTCAAAACTGTGGCATCTGTAACGGGTGAACAATTTCTGGCTGATAATAACGTGAGTCTAGCAACATAATTCTCAGTGCCAAGCTACTAATATTTTTTCAGATTGTAGGCTCTTTCGCGACTGATTTGATCCAAGCATCTACTAGGGTTAATTATGGTCAAAATCTGAACGTCATTCACGGCGTAGAGACTATGGTTTGTATGGCAATCGATGGTGCAATGCAAATCCAAGGTGGTAATTGGCAGATCTTCGACGGCATGATTCAATCTTCAAATGCCACCATCCGTCTGAACCACACTATTGCCGAGATATCCCAAGTGCAAGATAAAGATAGGTACAACGTCAAGACCATCACCACAGATCAGATTGGTGTTTCTCACACCAGAGAAGAACCATTTGACACCGTCATTATCGCCGCTCCCCTCCAATACTCCAACATCACAATGTCATCAGACCTTCTTCAACACACACCCGACGAGATCCCCTACGTGACCCTTCACGTAACCCTCTTCGCCTCCCCCTACGGCCTCAACCCAGCCTACTTCAACCTAGGCCCCAATGACCAGGTCCCAACCATAATCCTCACCACACTCCCCAAAAATATCCCCGCCCCCACCGACCCCAAAGATTTCGCCGGCCCTGTCGGATTTTTTTCCATCTCCACTCTTCGAAAAATAATCAACCCCACCACCCTCGAATACGAGAACCTTTACAAGATCTTCTCTCCTCAAGTTCTCTCCGCCGAATTCCTCTCCTCTATCCTTAATAGCGCGGTTCCCGTCCCGGAAGACTTCACTACTATTTCTTCCTCGGCAAACAACACAATAACCTGGTATTATCCCCACGTCTGGAACTCTTACCCTTATGAATACCCTCGCGTAACATTTGAAGAGATTCAACTTGCTCCCGGTATATACTACACGAGTGGCATTGAATCTTTCATTAGCACAATGGAGACGAGTGCATTGATGGGGAAGAATGTCGCAAGATTAGTGATCGATGATTTCCTAGGAAGTTCAGAACCAGACTCGAAGTCTGTGGTGGAGAAACTGGTCGAGGTAGGAAATGTAGTTGCTGAAGCCGAGATTGGTGTTGGTGGCGACATGCCTGTGGTTGATGAATTGTGATTTTTTTGTTCATTCCTGGTAATCATAGAGAGCAGGCGTTCGTTACTTTCCATTCAATTCGTGTCACTTCTATAGGATAATATTGTGTTACCTGAATCAAGGCTAAGCGAAATACAGCGACAATCCAATCTGATAAATATATTTATTCATTGAGTCATAAATTTACAATGTTTTTTGGATTGTAGCATCCAGAAGGATAAATTCCTCCAATATCACGTCATACATACTCTAGTACAAACCAAAAGTCCCACAAATTCGGATCCACGTACAACCCCCACCCCTTACAATTGTAATCAGCCTCTACATCTTTCCTTCCACCCCGTGAAGGGGTTAGCGAACGGAAACAAAGTAGCCTAATACTATTATAGTCTACACCTCATCATTGTAAAAATCAACATCTTTTATAGGATCATCCGGAATCCAGGGCGCGCTCCGTTCGACATCATTCTCATCTTCGTCATCTCTAGGTTGAGTTGGTAAAGTACGCCAAACCAACTCTCCCTCATCATCCCGAACATATCCGCGCCGTTTGAACGGTGACCGCTGGGGCAATCTAGGCTTTGCAGCGCCTCCTCCTAATTCTGGACTTGGCGCTTTCCGAGGGGATGTTGTGCGTTGTCTTTTCTTTCGGCTTTGTTGTGATGAAGTGCTTTGACTAGATGAGGTTGGGTCGGAACCGGAAGTTCTTGGGGAGTCTGTGATTTCTCCTCCTTCTTGTTCCTGTGCTGTTCTCATTCTTTTTGCCCCAGCTAGTGGCTTTGGCATGGGCCTTCCACTTCCTGATGCAGTCGCTTTGGTATCGTCCTCGTCCTCTTCGTCTTTATCATCTGGATCTCGCTTTCGTTTTCCATCCTTGCCTACTCCACTCCAATCCGGGAATCGTGGCGGTGGCTTTTCCGCAACCCCTTTCTCAAATGGCATGTCACGATGACCCATTTGAACAGCTTTATGAGTCGGGAATAATAATTTGACGGCCCCGTAATCATATTCGTCCTCTTGATCATTCCAATCCACTGGATTGTATACACCTAGCGGGTTGAATACTCCCATTCTTTTAAAGCGCCTCACCTTCATTCCTTTCTCACTATCTGGGTCCTGCGACAGTGCGGGATATACCTCACCCTTCCACTCATCAAGTTCTGACTGTATACCCTCCATAAAAAGATCCGTATCGTCGCCAAAATTCCAATGTTCCAAAACCTCCTGCACTATTTGCAACAAGTCTTCCACGTTCCAACGCTCATTCGGATCAACTGCCAAACCTCTCAAAAGCACCCCCCTCAACTTTCTACTGTAAATCACACGGTCTGGATCCAGGAGTCGGATGCCCATGGTTTTGAATGTCAAGCTAGGAACAGGATCTACTCCTATCGTGAAAAGTTCGTTTTTTGGTATCGATTCCGTCTCATTTAAGCACATGTAAACAATGTGAGAAATGTTCCAAAGATCGACTGCAGTGCCTATTATACGATTTGGGTGATCGATGAAGTTTTGTTCCTAAGAATGGTTTAGTGATAGTAATCAAGGAGTTAGTATTCTCGAGTTGAGCTTGAGATTAGAATTGAGAGGGACGCCTACTGGTGCGAGGAAGCTGTTGCGGAATTCGGCTATTTTCATCCAGGCCTTCAATTTTTCTGGATCTCTTTCCAGCTCTCTAGGGTCAGGAATTTCAAGTGCGAGTCCGAAGTCAGCAAGCTATGGTTGAAATTCATTTAGCACTAGTTCAGTCGGAAGATTGAAGATAGCATTTAGAAAAAAGCAAAAGTTCAAGACCCACCTTATGAACCCTAATACGGTCATGGCCTGGTCTGGGATTGTCGCCGATGCTGTGGGGAAGAAACATTTAGAATTCAGTATGATAATGAAGCAGGGTTCATATATTTCCAAGGAGAATGCTTTATATCCATGGGTCTTGCTTTCAGACCCGAAGAGGATATAAACAAGCAATCCTATAAAGACTCTTACTCACAGGACTACTTAATGTTAGCATCCCTTTATCCCATCAAGCACGTCTCAATTCTGGAATATATCTTACTATTCGCCGCCTTTAAATCAAAATGTCCCACAGGAGTATGCCAAAGTTTCGCTCCCTCTTCAGAAAGATCATCTCGCCAATTCTCAGTCCCATGCTTCAAGATCATCAACCCTTTCAATAAACATTCCCACAGTCTCCAAACATATTCTTCCGATGGATGTGTGGCAGTGCAATGATCATCCATCCAACCTTCTAGATCCCCATGAGATCCATATTCTATATATATTCTTGACACATCGTTGACACGGTCCGCGAGTTGTTTCCTGAAACTTCTCTTCCAGGTGTGGTCAACAATTGAGGGGTCCTTCCCAGGGTCTGTTCCCTACGCACCGCCGTGTTAGCAAAGTACAACTTATCTGCATCCTTAATTGCAAACGATCTCTTTTGAGATGAATGGTGCCAAAAGAGTCAAATAACTCACCGCACCCATCGTTCGATGCCAGGCCTTATATATCTTAATAATATGATCACTCTCGTATTCCATGAGTCTTTGTAATATCCTACTCTCCTGCTTCAAATTAACACCGTCATCTCCTTCCTGTTTAACCACGATTTTCCGCGGCGACACATCTGGATTATCTCCTTGATATTCAAATAGACAAGCCATGCCATACGTTCCACCTCCCAGGTATTTGGTCCCGACCCAGTCTTTACCGATGGCTAATGGCGCCCAACCTTTGGACGCCTCGAGATATCTATCAAATTGATTAAGATGAGCCATCTTTATTATATAAATTTTTTATAGTAAATATATATGAAAATGTGAATCAAACTTTGAAATTATCGATGGTACGAATGTTTATTCTTAGAACCCTTGAGTTGTATCAAAAGTTAATGCTTTGTTATTGTATGTCCTTCATCAGCACAAAGAGGGATAAATCTTCGTAGACGACTTGAGTAATTTTCGATCAATGCGACAAAGAAGACTGTATGCTGTACAACATGGACATCTAAAAATTGCATAAAAAAGCAAAGACTTGGGAGAGGGATAATCAATAGAAAGTACGTTGAGATCATATCCACAACAGCTCACAATATATTCGCAAGACTGTAGATAATTTTTCCTTTTTAATCTATATATTGAGTATTCACCGCTCTAAAATCTCCAACCAAGAGTTTTTGTTATGCGCAATTAATATGCAACGTTGGTTTCTGCCTTTTGGCAATTCACCAAGTGCTCCAACCCCTTCACCCCTTGGCCTTTTCTCCAGCATACTTGTAACACCAGCAAGCAAAATATGAACAGAGAAGACGATACTGTAAAACTCCAGCCTCCAGCCTCCAGCCGCAGAGCAGCATATGTCAAAATCAACAAACATTAAGGGATGACATCCAGATGCTCCTACTGTAACCACAATCATAAAGTCCATAAACAAGAAAAAAATGGTGTCCCTGAAAAGAATCGCAACAAGTGTGCAAACAACAATGCATCCACTAAAAAGAACCGAACACCCCCTCATCAGCGCCCATCACAACTATGATCGCACGCTTCCATCCCAGTTTAACTCCCTCACACTAACCTTCGTCCCTTCCCTCTCAGTATATTTTTCCTTTACACTTCCCCGCCTCCAATCCATCAAACTCGCTCTCTTTGATCTTATCGACGCCATTGTCTTTCCCGTTGTATCTTTCGTAAGCTTGCTTTCCTTCGATGAGGATGAATTTCTCCCACTGTCTCCATCGCCTGCTGTGCAATTTGCGGTATATGCACTATTTGCCGAGTAGTATTCGCCATCTACGTATACTGCATCGGAGACAAATGTGCTGCGGCGGTTTCGGCTGTTGATATATCGCTTCTCGAGTCTATAGAGCTCTAACTTTTGGTTGATCTTGTCGAGAAGTTTCACCATGATTGCTGTTGTGTGGAGGATGAGGTATGGAGTAATGAATTGAGTTTGAAATGAATGATACGGCGAAAGGATTTGTTTGGCCTTGCGATGAAATGAAGGAGAAGAGACCCAAGACGATGAACAGATTTGTTGGTTTGGAGAGACTGAAGGCTATTCGGTTGATCGATTTCAAAAGAATGTTCTAAGGCCGTAAAATGTCCTTCGTGCTATTCTGATGAGAGTCGATAGGTTTAATCGTCGAGATCGAATATTGAATATGTCGTAAGATTTCGTTTGTACAGGTGAGCAGATCGATGAAAAAGCAAAATATGTACAGTAAGCCTTATGATTTCAAGTCCAGGTGTGTTTGTGTTTATCAGATGTTTGTATGTACTTTGTAGGTACCGGTATATCGAGTCAGAGATTTTAAGATGTACAAATGAACAGACCTTTACTTCTCTACTCCGTATGTTGTTGAGCAAGATAGACAGAAGGGAATACCTTCTGGTCCTCCTTGGCGATAAGCCATATAAAGCTCTAGTCTCTACAAGTGAGTTGTGCGCCGTAGCTCTTCGCCCACAGATTTTCTTACATGCTTCTGCTTGCATTTCTGCACTTTATTCATCCCCTCGAATTTGGATGCTGCTCCATCCAGAGCATCAGAATCATCCGAAGTTCCACAAGAATGATTGAAATGTTTCCACGTTGCAAGGATTCTATATGAATTAATATTTTATCCATGATAGTCTAAGACAAGCGTACGGATTAGAAGAGTGGATTATCATCTAGTATCCAATCATATCCATTGATAGTCGGGAAGTTAAACCAAGTTAGTATAAGCTCAAAGATACATTCAACCGTTGGCACGTTTTCTACATTAAGTAGTACGACTTTCGACTTTCGACCAGCCCCGGATATTTCCCTAGAAAAGAGTTGAGAAGCATGGAAGACGCCATCTGGACCTATCACTAACTACATGTCAAAGCGTTATCGAATGAAATTTCCTTTCGGGAAAAGGTCTATTGACTAAGCACTAAATAGGCACTTGTGAGGTCTCGTCTTCATTCCCCAGCCGAGTTTGTTAATCGCTAGGCCATTTTCCTCGGTTTAAAACCTGTCTTCCCGAGCGATCCTAAAGTCGGTATTTTTTGATCTTTTTTCGTGCTATCCAAGCCGCAAACGTGATAATTATGGCATTTATTCGAGATCATGAAAGATACAGTTCCTTTCTTCACCTTGGTCACCTTGGTCACCTTGAAGGTTGATGCTTGATGGTCTGCAGAGGTTGAGGGGTTTGTACTGAAAATTGTCTGGTACCGATATTATGGGGTTGAAACGAACGAAGTCCAGTCCCGCTTTTGTGCAGCCTCGATTGGTGGGACCTTTATATGAAAGGGGGTTTCCCCTGCAGCAGTTATGCATGTGGCCCATTCAAGATAACAACTTCTTATCATTCAAATCTATCTTTTCTCGTCTTTCGAGATGTCGGGAATTTGGATTTCTCGTTCTTTACTGTACTGCGTTTCGGCGAACAGTGTTTCCTGTACTATAATTGAGGTGAGTGAGACAGAATACATAATAACATGAATGAATAAGATGCTTACCACTCCAAAGTTCGGAGTATACCCCGCCAGTATCAATCAATTCTCGATGCGTCCCACTTTCAGCCACCGACCCTTCCTTGAGGACTATAATCTTATCGCTATCAAAGATTGTTCGGAGCCTGTGAGCAACGAAAACACTGGTCCTTGACTTCTCTTTTAGTATGCCGTTGATGTTTTGCATGAGTGCCTGTTCCGTATGAGTATCCAATGCAGATGTCGCCTCGTCGAAGAATAATAGTGGAGGATCTTTCAAGATAAGTCTCGAGACTGCCAATCTTTGCTTTTCTCCTCCGGAAATCATCATTCCTCGCTCACCAACCATGGTGTTATATCCATCGGGAAATGAGGTGATAATGCTGTGTATCTTTGCACGTTGTGCCGCCTCCTTGACCTTTTCGTCGGATGCCTCTAAATTGCCATACCTTATGTTGTGTTCAATTGAATCATTGAAAAGTGGTGTATCTTGAGGAACCACGCCGATGGCTTTTCTTAGTGACTCTAAACTTACATTTCGAATATCTTGACCATCGATAAGTATCCTTCCCTCCTGAACGTCATAGAAGCGGAACAAGAGTCGCAGGACCGTTGATTTCCCACAGCCACTAGGTCCAACGATAGCAATCTTTTTGCCGGCAGGAATAGTCATGCTGAGGTTCTTCAGGATTGGACGGTCTGGATGATAACCAAACGTAACATTTTCAAATGTGATCTCGCCGCCATTGGTGAGCTGCAGAGGCTTCGCATTTGGAGGCTCCGTAATAGCCACATTGACCTTCTGCAGATTGAAAAGAGTTTCCATATCCAATAAGGATTGTCGAAGTTCTCGGTATACTGATCCCAAGAAATTTAATGGAACCGACAGTTGGAAGACCAATTGATTGACCATTACAAGATCACCCACAGTCAAGTTTCCTGTAGCTACACCGTCGGCAGCTAGGTACATCATGGCAGTCAATGCACTAGAGAAGATCAAGTTTTGTCCACTATTGAGGAATGCCAAAGATGTTGCAATCTTGATCGACGATTTCTCATAAGCTCGAAGTGCTTGATCATATCTACCAACTTCGTATTTTTCGTTGTTGAAATATTTGACTGCCTCATAGTTGATGAGGGAGTCTACAGCAACTGTCGAACCCTTATTATCTGCCGCATTGGCTGCCCTTCGAAATTTTGTTCTCCAAGCAGTGGTCGAGATGGTAAATGCTGAATATCCCACCATTGTGAGAGCCGTGATCGCCGCAAATTTAGCACCGTATTGGTAGGTTAAAATACCGCATACCATGGATATCTCTAATATTGTTGGGAAGACGTGAAAAACCATAGACGTGAGCAAGAAACTAATCCCCTTTGTGCCCCGATCAATAGCTCTAGTCAGCCCACCGGTCTGTTTCGATAGATGAAACTTAAGATCAAGTCTCAATAGATGATCGAAAACATTGCAAGCCACCTTCCTAATAGCCTTTTGGGCAACGCTGGCGAAGACTGCATTCCGTATTTCTTGAAACAAAGTAGCTCCAATTCTAGTAAGTCCATAAGCCAGTATCATCGATCCAGCGACGGTTGTAGCTGTGCCTCCAAGGGTCGCGAAATCGACATTCATAGCATCGACAATGCTCTTGAAGTAGAAAGGTACTTGCACATTCAATACTTTAGCTCCCACCAGCAATCCGAGAGATAATCCAACCCGAACTCTTGTTCCCATGTTATCTTTGGGCCACAAATATTGTGACATCTCTTTTATAATCGCCCAATCCGCCCTCCTCTGCTCCTTGTTTGTTTTCTCATCCACGGCCAATGGATCCTTTCTCGTTGTTGCCAGCGTCTCAGGAGGGGCTTTCTTCGCGGTCTCAGACTTAGCCCCAGGTAAACCGGCTCCTGCTCTCGGGGTTCTCAATGATTGAGACTGGAGTATGCCGCCTTTGGAGATATCTTTCAGCAGTCGATTGGTGCTTGTGAAGACCCGAAGGCCAATTCCCACTCGTACCCATCTTGGATGTCGCAGAGAGGCTTTCGCATTTATGCAGGAAGCTCCCTGGAAGACATGTAAGCTTCGGAAGCTCATGGTAAAAACAAATCCAATTTCACCGCCCACAAATCATCAACTGCGCATGCCTCAGCTATTCCAAGAAGACCCCCATGTATATAATTGTAGCTATCGATAAGGAATCAACGAACACACCAGGCTTCGAAACCTACCCAAGAAAGATGCAATACAGCTAGATTGAAGTTTCGAAGTATCTCAGTTGCAAAATATTGTTCTTTTCATTAACCAAAAATTAGAACATTGTAAACCAGAATTCATCAATTTATAGAAAATTTTGTGGTGAGCACTATAAGACATGAAGCTATTACGCCATTTCATGTTGAGCCTCGCCTAACAAGGCACAAAATTGCATATGCAAGGCAAGCAAACGACAACAGATGTTCCCCCGCTCTTTTTTTCCTTTTTAAACGTCAAAAAAAAGAGCAGCCATGATCTCACGATCATCTGTAAGTCGCGTCGTTCGCGGTGCGCGGCAGCTTCGCTCGTCTGAAGATATACCTGCCGGATGTAGAGGTTTGCAGATCAGCGCATCGGAATCTCCCTTGGATGGCCATATTTTAAGCAAGACTCTTGATTCTACAGATCCTGCTGGTAAGTTTTATTCGAGAGCTCGCGAAGGGGAGGGGGTTGAATACTAAGATACTTCTCGCAGATGCAAGATTCGAAGTCATTGGAGCTCCCTACTCTCTACTCTCAGTCTCATTGTCCGCATCGCAAACACTATACACCCGACGAGGAACGTTAGTTGGAGTGAGCGGAAAAGCAGAAAATGTCAGCATGCTCGCAGTGGTAGCATAGGATGGGAAGGATGGCTTGCTGATATATTGGGTAGGCCCAATCAACATTATCGATTCTTGAGCCCTTTCGACGAGCCCCTCTTGGGATTCCCTTCCTATATCAGAAAATATCCTCGACCAGTCCTATAAAAGCATTGGTGTCAACAAAAAATTCGAACACGTCTATGGAAGTATTGCATCTGGATGGAAGGGAAGATTGGATGATTGCTCAGAGGAATGCATTACTGGCTTGGACTGGCCATAGATTATCCGTTTCGCCGACAATGAACAGAAGTATGAGTGTCGCTCATTGGGGAAACACACAAATTACAGGTAGAGGACTAGTAGCTTTGGCTGGGGCAGGACGTATATACGAGATTACCTTATCAGAAGGAGAAGAATTCGTCGCACATCCCGGAAACGTCGTTGCATACGCGATGAATCAACACCCACCTCTCCCATACCGCCTAAAAACCTCAATCCTGAAACTACAGATCCCAAGCTTAGGTTTCAGTAAGCTATTACCAGATATCAAGTTTTTTAGGGTTATGCAACAGACAGAATCATGGAATTTTGTGAAAAGGATAGCTTTCACCCTGAGGACGGCGATGAGAAGGAGTATTTGGGGAGATAGACTATTTTTACAATTCAGAGGGCCAACTACACTCTTAATGTCTACAAGGGCGACAAGGATCAGCGACGTTCTGACGAATAGAGATATTAATGAGATTGCGGATGCTCCACCAGGAGCCGTAACGGAAGCTATTGAGTTGGCGAGGGAGCCTAAGACGGTCTCAAAGACTACGAAACAAATAACGGATGTACCGACCGGTTTCCATTATGCGGAAGTTAATAAGGATGGGAAGGTGAAATTTGAAGACCCTACCGTAAGGTAGTAAACAAAGCGGGGTGTATCAGTATAGGAAAGGAACAGAAAATGTACGAATAGGTCCTAATTTTGGACGAGTGATGGAAATTAAATATAAGGAAATGTTACCTCAATCAAAATATGCCATTGCTCACCTCTCAAGTGCCTACTTGACAAGTCATAAACAACCTCCTTTTGTCTTTCGCTTAAACTGTACTGAAGTCAGGTTATATCTACATTCATTTTGAAGTCTCTCGCAAGTCTACGATTGGCTACATATTGAAATATATACAGTCGTCTCCTTAGTGCCATCTTGATACCTTATTGTTACATCGCGCTCAAGACATATATATATACTCCATAGAAGATAAGTCCTGATTGATTCCACCAAAAGAGAATCGCGCCAGTAGCGAGAATTTACATGGGATGAAAGTACTCAATCTGTGTAACTTTTTGATTCTGGCACTTTTGAAAATGCATGAGGAGCTAGTAGCTAGGATCTGGTATCGGGATAAGTATGCATATTCTTTCGCTGTCGCTCCGGCTGTCGTCGTTATATACGAGATGTCTAATGATTGGGATGTTATCGCCGCTTCCTTCGTCCGATGGTGATATGTCGGTCGAATATACATTTGGAGATTTTATTTCCAATGGTCTGGGATCACCGTGGAACTATGTGGGCCTTTCGGTACATAACTATCGTGTCCTTGTTTCGAAACTTATTCTTAACCTTTCCTTCCTTCATCCACAACCGTCATAGAAGTTTTCCAGCCTCTTTCTCCCCAGAATCTTTCGACTAGCTCTTGTTTTCATACTTGCTCATATGCTCTTACATTCCCGATCACTCGGATCCTTCCTCGCACGTGTGAGTCTCGATCATCCTAGTGTTTGGTTAGACGCATGGGGCTTATAAAAGTAGGAACTTGGGAGCTCTTGTATTCAACAAAGTCAAGAAGTTGTTCCTAATGGCAGATATGTGCCGAGCTTTGTACTTAGTAACAGCAAGGGAAGGAAGTGCCGTCCAAAATAGCTTTCTAGGAAGGAGGAGCGTGAGCCGAAGCGGCGTTCATAGTGCAGAGCCATTGCGTTTGCGTTTGATGGTAATAGTTTAGAACGACAATATATGTAGGGGAGGTTGAAGAATGGTAGAACGGCACTGACTTAGGAACAGTATTTCAAGAAACTTTATAGTTGACGCACTACTGTATCACACGCCGGAGAAATTACCACTCCCTCGGATCATAGTTCAGAGTACATCCTTCATCATTCGCATGAGGTCGCATCGAGCCATACATCTTGGGAGAACGAGGTGCGGGGAATGTTCTTATGGGACTTTTAAGATACTTTAAATGATTCACTGCTTCTCCAAGCTCCATTACCCCCCTTCCAACAACTTATCCTGACTAGTACCCTCCTCTAGAATTTCAAGACAATTTAATATTATCGTCTTGGAAGCGTAATAAAGCACACTACGTTAACATAGATTCTTCATTGATATTTTATTAAGGCGATGGTGGCTTTTCCAATTCTAATCCAGAAAGTCACATTTACACCCACAAAGAATGTTGTAAAATACCACAAGGGCACTTTTCTTAACTTTTATTAAGGTTCGGTAATTTGTTTGATCCTAGGGTATGATTTCTCAAAGCTGTTTAGAACGTACTGTAAAATGGTTTAATAGAAAGTTGGATGTAGGAAGTGAGGGTAGCATGGCTACCGTCGAGTAGATATTGGGGATGAAGTTGTATATATCTCATGAAAGGTAATGGAGACATACCTGAATACCCTCCCACAAGAAAAGGGTTAAACTTAATTCCGCACAACCATTACTAACCTATACTTTCGAGATTGTATGGTGAATCATGAAATAGCATCAACATGCTAAGAAGCCGGGGAATCTAAAGACTGGTGTTGGGTAAAATATTATAATATCTCTATGTATCAGTTAATGGTTTTATATCAAACATTAAGTCAATGGATTGCATCAGCTAGATTCCAGGCAAGGAGAACTGCAAACTTTGGTATATCGAAGTTCAAGGTTAAAAGCCTCCTTTTGATGATCTTTTCGTCAATTATTTGCGAGTGGTAAGATGATTGAAATGATAAAGTATTTTTATAAAAGAGCGACAGTGACATTAGAGAAATGGCAACAATTATACCGCATCTCCCTATTATCATTGCCTGTATCCTTCTCTCTCGTTCCTATCACAATAATATCACCCCAATTCCGTAATCTCTTTCCAATCTAGTTGCGGAAGTCTCTCCAGAACTCGAGTCTCAAACAGCTTTTCCTTCACATCCGCTCATACTCTAACCCCCTATATCTTTGCACTAGTCAAGGTGTTTAACATCGGGGTTTGAATGTGATTATTCTGGTCCTTAATTGAATAAATATCTACTGAACTTCTGGTCCAATGATGCCAGTAATTTCTCATGTACCCCTCTTTATGTACTTGCAAGGATAGAACTCAATTCCTTGGATCTCATGATATGATGAAGTGAATAATGAAGGTCCAACTGACCAGAAGATTGATGTTGTTGATACATGAACGTCTATGGAAACACTTTATAGACCGCATGCCCGGGTGAAGCTCATTATATTTCGATGGGATAGGAAAGCAAGCCAAGTGTTTGACTTTGACTCAGGATACAATTCTTCAGCTTCATGATTTCGTCAGTGCTGGATATTGAGATTTGGCACTGCGGTGGTAAATGACAGTAAGGTTAAATGGGCAGTCAAGTTGCGACTGCTTTAGTGAAAAGAGACAGTAAGAAGATTAGGAATTGCAGTAATGAAAGAACGTAAAAATTTAAAGGAATAGCAGCAGACGATATGGAAAGTATAGGATGGAGTGTTAGTTCAAACTAAATACTGAATGTCAATAAAATGACTGATTTGTCCTCCGTTCTATCAGGGCTCCTATCATTGAATTTTCGGGTCCCATCTGCAGGTTTAAAGCTTTCCAAGTATGTAACACCATTTAAAGCTTGGCGTCCTCGATCTCTTTTCAAACAGCCCAAGAGTATTGAATAATCTAACCAGAGGTTAATATACCACATCTCAGCTCCAATCTTATCATAAGAGAGTCTTCAGGTGAATGGGAAGGGACCCATATAATATGGGTCCGTCGGATACCTAGATTGCCTCAGCTCTAATTCTCAACAAAATGGTTCCTAATAGAAAGTGAATAACTAGAAGAAAGCCCGAATCCTTACAAGAGAAGCCATATAAACTCACGCTGATTGTAGATCCATGCACAGTATCTATCTATAGGACAACTTTTGGCAACGTCCCATGTTTTTGGAGGAACTGTTTGCAATCTCTATCAATACGAAGTAATGAATAATTGTACTCGAGAAAATGGCAATTTTTCCAATATTGATACAGCAACTTATGAACCGGACTTCCACTATCTTAGCTAAACCGAGAAATCCTTAGATGGGACGACATTCATCAACTCAAAATCCTCGACGACAAAAAGATTGGCCTACCACCGCTCTACAACCCCATTAATATCCATGCGTTCTCTGTCGAGTAATATGCAAACTTCCAGTGCATCTGGGGTTTGCATTGGTTTCGGTTGATTTTTCTCTGGGATGGCGTACTTGATTTCTTTACTTTGGAGAGACTTTGACACTTTAAATATCCATAAAAGGAAGGGGATAGGTTGATTTGTGGATTTTGGGGAGGGGGGTGTAAGAAGGAGTGAATCAAAGTACTGTGGATGGTGAATCCACACACACACACACACACAGAAACTAACAGCCCGCAACAGCCCGCCCACCAAAGGATAGACTTTCGCTCTCCCTCCAAGGTCACAGATGTTATATATCTCATCTAAAGCTAGGTCTGGCATCTATAAACCTTGAACTGATCCTGCACTCAAATTTCAACTTTAAGACACGCGATGAAAGGAAAATACATGAAATATGCTCTAATGTTTCCTGAGAGAAAGGTTTTTGTGCGAGTTGGGAGTTCTTAAGAATTGCATTCCCATACCGTCTCAAGTTCGAAGATTGCGAGAGAGATTCAATAATATGACAGCGTTGAATCCTATACGCACTGGCATTAATATAACAATAAAGTAAAGTCATGAGATTATAGTAACGAGCAAAGTACCACAATACTGTCAGAATAGTCAAATAATATGATATAAATATTGCCCCTTTTGAATTTACTCGTCTCTTCTTGAGTAGTCACAACCCCTCGCTCTCACTTCAGTCGCTCTCTTATGTAAGATGTTAAAAAGATAGTCATACCATTGCTTTCTTCGAGTACATACTGGGAAGAGATTAAACATGTGAAAGATTTGAATATGGAGTAGTAAGATATGTACGAGTAAATGCGATGGATCATAAGATAAAGAAATGATCATGATATAAGAGTAGTGCAGAGATAAGCAGAGTGAATGCTAAAGAAAGGTAAGAAAATCTTGCTATAAGAAGAATCCAGCAAGCGTAGTGTAGAGATCATATCAAAGTTAAAGGCTGAGCTTGAGAGAGAGACATGATCCAACACAACAGCATGGGAAGTAGAAAGAAAACGTATAGAGATAGGAAAGATTTTCAATCTCGAGTTGGCACACTTATGTCCTCAAGAATCATACATTGCATTCCCATCCCACCTCAGTCCATCTCATCCTATCTCATCCATCTCGATATCTGGACGTACGGTATGGAAGTTTACATAGTGAATAACATACTGTAAATAAGAGGAGCAGAAAAAGAGGAGCTTATGAGAGATGATGACTAATTTCTATAGACATTGAAATAGCAACACAGTAATGTTCCCTATTTAAAACGCAGTCACCAAGAAAGTTGATGTCTTACTATAGAAATAAAAGTTATCTCGCAGATCATTTCACAGGCTCTTCAGAATTAGTAATGTGCGTATTTGAAGACGAGAAGACGGAAACAAAGAGAGAAATAGCCCACGGGATAGTAGCTATTTGACTGGATTAATCGCATATCAGATTTTTATCTCAAGGACAACAAATCAGGTATGGTCAATCATAAACCTGGATACAA